AGACCCTTTCTAAATCTGTTAAGTGGAATTACACCTGTTGAGGTCCTTAAATGCAAACAGAAGTACCCAAGTCTGGATAACTTGAAGAAAAAAAATCATCAAAAGGTATGGGGCAGCTCCTAGGATCAAGAGAACAGCCCAGCAACGAGGCCGTGGGAACCACAGACACAACGGAATGAACAGCTGAGCTCCTGGGGTGGGGCGGGGTGGGAGATGGGGATGTAATACACTTCAGATGCGTCCCTTGTTTGTGACACGCCCCTCAAGGCTCCATTTCCCAAGAGAGGAGTCGTCCTGGTTCAGGGACTATGGAGAATTGAGGTTGATGCTCCACCCAGACTGACTGCCGTGGGGGCAGTGGTTCCCAAAGGGTAGCTGGGCGCTGTTGCCATGCGAAAAGGAGATGTGCCAGGTTTCACAAGAAACGACCTCCAGAGACGTTGAGGATGCTGTTCTTGGCTACTTTGCCTCAGTTAGTAAGTTGAATAACCCTACAATCCTATGAAAGCTCTTCAACCAGGGTAAAGAGCAAGTTGGATTTTATTTACCGTTGTAAAGAGCCATGACTTGGCGCAGGTGTCTGTCTCACTATGTGGTGGGCATCCCGGGCCATAGTGAGAATGTGTAAATCTCACAGTCCTTCAAAAAAAAGTCCAAGATAGTGAGTGTGAGAGCCGCGACATGCTTGGTTCAGCTTCAGCAGGTATTTGAGGACCTACACTGTGCAGGATGCTCTGCTACATGCTAAATACTCCAGACACAGGAGACAGATTTTTGAGACCAACTATTAATTCCCCAACAAGTCTCAAGATGCATAGGTGGAAAGGTCAGTTGAAAGTAAAGCTCTCAAATGATTTCAGTGTGTTAGACAAAGACCCACAGGATGACTGCAGAGATCCCAGGTTCCCACTTAATTTGTTAAACACTTCATAAGAACTTATTATGTAAGAGTAATTCTGGGGCATTATGGTAATATGAAGTATAATGTATGTATTATATATATAGGGATTATAATATGAAGTATTATACACAATATATATTATGATAATATGAGTATTTAGTTTTCCTGGAATTCTTAACTTGCAATTATTTACCAAATGAAGCCCCAAAAAATGATTTACAGTTAGAATGACAGAAAAATTTTCATTGCAGAAAAAGGGGGTTAGGATGGGTGATTAAAAAAAAAAAAAGAAAAAGGGAACATTGATGAATTAAATAGTGTGATATTTTTAATGAAAAAGAAGAATATTGAAGCAAGAGAAATTTGACTTCTAATATCTGCTCTGTCTAGCTGTGCATCCCTGGGTTACTTACCTAACTTCTCTGAATCTCTGCTTTATCATCTATAAATGAGAATGAGAGAACCTACTTTGCTGGATCCTACATCCTAGGTTTGCTGCAAACCTACATTTGCTGATCCAAAGAGATCCAGACTCTAAGTTGGATATCAAAACTTTGTTACTTTTAAGTCACTATGGGGTTATTTTTTTATTATTGGTTGCTTTTTATTTTGTAATAACTTGACTCTCAGGAAAATTAGTATATCAGTCTGTTTAACTGCAAGACATTCAGCTTGATGGGCCATGAAGGACTTGTAAAGCATTCTGCTTCTCTCAGCCCAGGAGTGAAAGCAGGGGCGCCGGCTCGGAATTTTGAAGGCTATCTGAGTGAATGATTTTTTTGCGCTTTCTTCAAGTGTGATACTTGAAATGTTCCATTAAATATGTCGCTAATTTTCTTATATGTCATTTTTTAATGTTGTGAAAGTTTATAGAAAGAACACCCAATTTTTTTTTAATCAAAAAATATAGGCTTGATTTTGGTTTGGAGGGACCCGAAAGCTCTCATTGATTTTAGAGCAAACCATCAAGAAATCCATCAGCTCCAGCACTGCTCTTCTCTTTGTCACAGCTTCTCACAAGTGGGCTATTTATTAATCATGACGGTGAGGTTAATGTCTTGGGAAAATATTGTGATTCACTCTAAATTCAGTAAAATCTCGTCACAAACACTTCCACTCTCTCCCTCCCCTTCCACCGAATCACATGCACGTATTAAAGCTAAAATAAATTCACGCCAAAAAATAGAAATCTAAAATTAAATATTTAATTAGAACTCTGATTTGCTTTAAAGATAGGTGGCATTGCACAGGCTATATTACACTCTGTATAATTTTTTTTTGACAAAAAAAGATACTGTTCATTTTAACAGGCCACTTTAATATTAATACATGTGTAATAGGATTGGAACTGAAAATCAGCTAGAGATGGTACATTGTACATTATTGGGAAAATTACAGTTTTGTATTGTAAAAACATTTATTTTTTTTTAACAATTTACCTACATTAATCAAAAAATTACAGCATATTTAATAATTTTACAAATTCTTCATAAAAAATATATCTCTGTACAAAAAGGTCTTTTGCACCTACTTCATGTCAGCAGCTTGTGGTGAGATGGCAATACAGTGGGGGTGACGATGGGTTTTCCTGATCATACGCCAGCGTTCTTTTTCCCCTTTTTATAATAGCTTTTTTTGTTGTTGTTTACAAAATATTTTACAGAAGAAAAAAATTATTGCAGCTAGCCTGAAGAAAGGCAAGATGTGTGAAACAAGCAGCACTTTTCAACAGCTTTGAAGCACATAACCTGTGTTAGCATGGGGGCGTGCCCTCGCGCGTGTTCTGGTTGCTTCCGGAAAGCATCTTCTAGGCCGAACTCAGAAAGCGCGTTTGCCGGCTGCCTGGACAAGGCTCTCCAACACCTCGCTCTCGGGAGACCTGATTAAACACTGCACACACCTAGGAAGAAACTAGGCAGAATTCTCACAGGAGAATTTCATGGAGTATTTTTTTTTTTTTTTTTAAATCACATGCTCCAGACTGGCAACCAAAGGATGGTTTGACTTTGCTCACAAAGGAAAATGATGCCTAATCTGATATGTGGTTTCTTCTATGTATATATGTCCTGTCATTTTAGATTTCATAACATGGTTGACCATAAGGAGGTCAGGGGTGAGGGAAGAGAGACATGAATTCAGACTCTGAAGTCAGCATTTTGCACCTAGTTTGAATGACTCAAACTTAGATATGTACAATATATTTATATCTATGTATGTATGTATATATATACACCTAATAGATGTAGTAACCCTGTTCTCCCCTGCACACAATGATACTTAAACTTCCTCTCGTTTGCTCTCTGTTTCGGTTCTGTGTGTGTTAGGAGCCTGGCTCTGGCTGACCCCATCTCGCCTGAGGAGAAAAAGCAATGGAAGGACTCCATGCAAAGCAAATTTCCAGTAATGGTGTCAAGTTGGCCAGAAAAAAATGTGCAGAGATTTCAGCATAATAAAATGGAATCCAAAAGGGGAGGAAGTAACTAGAAGAGGTCAGGTATGCCCTCCTAACAGCACACGCCCCTTCACACGAGCCTTAGCACAGCAGGGGGCCGAGCAGAAAAGATGGACTGAAATGTTCACATTAAAACGAGTGACGTCAAAGAATGAGCTATTATCCTGACTTTTTTTGTTTTCATTTTTCACTTCTGGAGTCCTGCATTTAAATCTGCAATAGACAAACAAATATATGGGTCGTAAAGCTAGGTGTGAACACGTTCATGACAGCAAAGTGGAGGGCCATTTAACCACTCTGACATCCTTACTGGTGCCGATCTGGAACGTGAGATCGGGGAAATGTTCAATATCTGGAATACGTACTTAAAAAGCAAGTGATAAGATAAGCATTGTCTTTCAAAGTATTTTTATCAAACAGTTATAAATAAAAATAAACACGACCTTCATTTGAGTTCCTCACACACTCATTCTCATTGCCACATCTTCTACTTCATATTTGCACACGGGGATCATACCTATTTTATTATACTGTAATTCATAAATTTACCTATCATGAATTTTGAACATGAAAAATCATCAAAACTTTCTTTCATCTGGAATCATAAAGCATAGAACAAAAGGCAAACTAATATATAAAATAGGTCATCTGGAAAGAAGGGTGTGTGTATATTTTCTTTGCCTCCAAAGAAACGCTTGGTATTTTGACCCTGAACAGTTTCCACTGAGTTCGAGGTGCCGCTGTGATCCGCTGTCTTTCAACGCAATATCAGAGTGATGATACAGCCAAGGAGAAAACATGATGCAAAGGGAAGACTGTACTGTGAGCCAAAACCCACAAGTTCATGAGCTATCTAAAATAAATTACTATTCACATTTTTACATGGAAAATAGAAATCGCTGCAAACCCCCTGCTAGTAAGTAGTATAATATCAACAATAACGGAGTGATGACAGTACTAAAATAGGACAAATTCGGGAAATAAAAAGGCCTCTTTTTTTTTCTCCTTGGATATCTTCAATGAATTCAATGTATATATGTAGCTAAAAGAAGCAATAATAAAATAAATCTCTTCAATGCCGTGTTTTCCTTTCAAAACCTGTGCCATATCTGGGGATTATTTTTCTTTTTCTAACATGTCAACTCAATGGATGGTGGAATGTTTAGCTTGACAATATGAGAGGATGCTTATATACAATGGATAGAGTGTATAAACCCTGTGTAAATAGTTTATTTGTTTATCAGAATCTTAGTCATTCATAACACACTAGTGCAAAAAATTGTGCATCAAAAATTCTGCAATAGAACAGCGGACTGGGAATTTGCAAATGGCCTTAGGAATGGATGCCAAGGGGAGCTGTGAGTTCCTCAAAGCTTGTCAGGTCTCAGGAAGGACAGAGGGAAGCATCAGTAGGTGTGTGCATCTACCAGAAAGGTGTCTTCTTCAAGAGAGCTTGTCTCACTTTTTTTCAGAGTATTCGTACTCATGGGGGTTAAGAAACCAAACGCATTTTGTGGTGCTACCATTTTGTCACCGCACCCGAAGGATGTATCACGTGCCCAGAGGATTGCATTGAAAGGCATCCCAGTCACACAGAAATAGGAAAGTCGGAGGCGTTAAGTACCACGTGTTGGCCTGACGTGGCAGTCTTCCCGAAGTGTGCCTTTGTTACAAGCAGCTGCAGCCGGGCACTTAGAATCCACTTTCAGGCTGAAGAGAGACTTGGAGTTCGATCCTCAGAAGACTCCGGCACGTTAGACTGGAAATTCCCGCTGCGTGTATGCCAGTAGAAGATGTGAAAGGTTGCTGCAGCAAAGCCAAGAGTAGGGGAGAGTGATATATGGCACCAAGGACTCCTGCTCGTCCGTCAGAGGTATGGCTATGAATCAGTCCGTCGGGCACTGAAGGCTATACCACTGTGCAGACTGTGTTCAGGGTTGTGTCAAACCGCACAGCCTTCGCTTCTGTGGGTTTTAAGTTTGTATCATACATGGGGTTTTCAAATGAAGCTTGTCCATTGCTGTTTTCATGTCCGGCATAGCCATTGTATTGAACTTTTGGTCTTGTTCTGAAAGGAAGAGAGAGAACAAACCATGAGGCCCCCATTTCAAGAAAGGAGATCTCACAGCTGTGCACACGCAATGACCCCTCGGTCAGCAGGGAACAACACATGTGTGATGGCATACAAAACAGTGCCATGCACTTCCTCATACTTTACAGCTTATTTTTTTAATGGGTGGTTGGGATTATAAAGAAGCGTTAGGGAATTGAAACAGTTTACAAAACCAAAGAATTATCTGATTCCTACTAATATTTGTGGCAAAATGGGAAGATCACCAGTGCTGGAATCAGACAGACTCCGGCATGGACATCTGTCTACCACTTACGAGTTATAAGACCTTGAGTAAGTCACCAAACATTTTAATCCTTCCTGTAGAGGAAGAATGGTTACTCAAGACGCCCACCCTTCAGGACAGCAAAGACTAAACTAAAATACAAACATATACTTTTGTTCACTGCCATTACTAACAGTCACTAAATGTTACCTATTTCTGTAATATAATTTTGTGTCTAGTGAGTAAGTTATAGAAAAAACACTATATGCCCTATTGAACTATTGTTTACATTTTGTGGTTAAAAGAAAACCCATATACGAGGTCTAAGATTACAGAATTAAAATAATTTTAGATATAAAATACTTAAAGCTATCTAGTTTGCCCCCACTTTTTTCAGAAGAAATTACATAAGAAAAATATGCCAGGTGGTAAAAACAGAACTTTAATGTAAACAACCATACTAGCAAAAACATCACTTGATATTCGATGTGAAGAAACTTCTGTTTTAGTGATTTACTATTGGATTTTCTGAAGTTACAATATGTTCACTAAGAAAAAGAGAACTAGAAAGTGTGTGAATCTTAGAAGAGTAGGTCTCTGTCAGCAGAACGGCAGCTTGCACCTGCCCTAGGAGCTGGCGAGGTCTTTGCTGTTGAACTTGAAAATGTCCCAGTCACAAAGGTTAGTAAACAGATTCAGTCAAATCCTAGCGAAGCTTGGACCTGGCTAAAAGGTTCCTTTAGTCTCCCAGGTCACTAGTCACCATGATTCCCTCATTGCTGGGAAATGCCACAGTGCTGGACCAGACTCGGGGACTGTGGAGAAGGAGATGGTGGGGACGTCCTGAGTCAGGAACCTGACTCTGAGTGAGAAAACAACTCCAAGGACACAAGGAAGGAGAGAAACTCAGAAATGAGCGGAAACAGGGTTTCATATGGAGAACTACAGTGCTGTCTCATTAAGGCATTTTGAGATCTGTAGAGGGGAGGGAGCCAGTGGAGAGAAAGCCAACAGCTTGGTGTGTTCCCGGGCAGGTGGCAAGACCTCAGAGGAAAATGGACTTATGAAGTGCCTGGGCGACCGGGCATGTGTTCCTTGCTTCTGCAAAAATCCTCACATTCCTCATATGGCACAGAAGTAGAGAACCACAAGACCCTACGGATGTAGAAGTCACGGTGACTTAAGAACTGTTCTCCTGGTAGCCCTGAGATGAGAGAGCCCTCCTTCACTTTCCAGACACAGGGCAGCCTCTAGGAGGAGGAGCAGCGTTGGGAAGAGAGGGTCACACTGAGGTTAAATTTCCCACCAGTGCAGAGGGGTGGAAATGCAAAGCAGGTGGCAAATTCGTATAAAAATAAGTGATAGCCCCCTCCCTCTAGTTTGTAGTCAGAGATCTATTCCCTGTGTTACTGTCACTGGGACATCTAATATTGAATGTTTCTAGGGAGGTTTCTAAGGTTTGCAGACTATAGCTGTGGAGTATGTTGAATATTCCCCCAATGCCATGTTGTCTTAAAATTAAGATATAATAGGAAGTAACACTTAACTAATGTATAAGTATATATAATCATGAGAGCTTATCTTTTTAAAGGATAAGAAAGATGCTGAAAATAGCTTTCTCTGAGATTCATATAAAGGTCTGCCTCACTGGGAGGGGCACCGAGGAAAACTCGCTGACACGTGGGGGTGCTGTCCATCTCAGGCACATGGGTAGGGCAGAGGGAACTGCGGGAGGCACCAGAGGCATCCCTACTGACAGACAACATGTCAAAAGGTGGGGAAAAGGGTCTTTAGTGAAATACATCTTCTCCTTGGGGTTAACGTAGATGCCAAAAAGAAGCAAAAATGATTTTGTAGGAATTATAAATTCCTACTGTGTGGATATTATATATCCTAGAGAAACTTGTGAAAGCAGATGTAGTTTTAATCTATACTAAAAGAAGAATTTGTACTATAAGAAGAGAAGCACTTCTAATGATGGCATTTTATTGGATAAGGTGCTGGGATATATTTCTACAGTTACTAAATTTTCAACTAGCTCCAGGCATAAATTTGAGGATAAGACTCACCAGACTTGTGTGCATAGGATATTTTTTCTCAAAATAAAAATAATAATAATTAATATAGTCGTGCCAATCTTTAGCTTTGTAAACAGCATCTGTGATTCCTCTCACTGGGTTACATTTTTAAAGTAAGAACATTACCAAGCATAGGAAAGTGGGGGCATACCTGTGAGTAGTTAATACAAAATTTTGAAGTGACATTCTTATTATTTTATATTTCAAAAAAAGGTATAAGCATGCATATTTAAAGCTATTCCATGAGGCATTAAGAAAAACCAACATCCTCACACCAGTTTTATTTTTAACCAGAATTAAGAAGAAATATCTGTATTATATAAATAAACATCGGACATATTTAACATATTTTAATCTTATTTCAGGGGATCATAATTTTTATTATTATTTGTAGGGAATGCTGCTATTCCAAACAGTATTTTAGGGCAGTTTGTCATATGCCAAATTCCTCCAGGTAATATATTATCCATATAGAGACAAAATGTCTAATGATTTATATTTGTTCCAAAATTTATTTTTGATTTCATTGTTTTGGCATCCACGTCAACTCCAAGGAAAGGATTAATTTCATTAAAGTTGTTTTTTAAAGAATCAATTTCATTAAAGTTGTCCAGTTAGTAGGGATATGCAAATTAATAGATATTCAGAACATTTTTTCAAGAGACAGAACATATAAAATTGCTTAGTACATAGTATGAACTCAATTTGTTTTTGTTGAAAGAAGCAATAAATCAACAACTTATAAACCATAGATTCATGGAGTTGAAAGTGGCTATAGAGATCATTCTGTTTAATCTTCTGCTGGATGGTAGAAATACCATCTCAATGCTCCTGATAGCTGGCCATAGAGCTCGAAAGTGGAAATAAAATCCTTTATTGCATCTTTCAGTGGAACCCAAAACACAGCATGTTATATCTTAATCCATTTACTTATTCTCCTAAAGTTTATTACTCAGAGATGTCTCACTGAAAAAGTATGGCAAATAAAATAAACAAAACAAAACTTTGCCAAATGAGCATTCTTAGTGTAAGAGAGAATATTGCATAGTGATATAAAATATATGTGCATGTGAGTGGGAGAGCATGCACATTCATTAAACCAACACTTTAGGATCACAACGTTTGCAAACAAATGGCGTTTCTACAGTACCTGTGTTTGTAGAGGTAAAATGCAAACCCTGATAAAATTAGAGCAAAGAATGGGACCAGAATGGCAGCTGCGACAGAGCCACTACTAGTGCCGTGATAATGATTTGAAGAATCTTGATCAGAGCTTAAGGGATCTGGAAAATAAAAGAAATATTTAATTTGCAGTTACTGTACTTATGCTTAAACGAAGATAAATTTGTGATAAATTTTATAAATGGATATAAATTCTACAAGAAGCAGAAGGAGTTGTAATTCCATGGAGAACCAACTGATAGTCTTTTCAAAAGATTTTAATATCCATCTTGATGACCAAGACACAAAAAACTGACTATTCCTTACTGACATTCAATAATACTATGAAAGGGTCTCACAGTTTCCATGTAAGGAAGGCAAAAGGGGCACTCCACATTCTGACTTTTGCTTCTAGTTATAGATATTTGCATTTGTGTAGAAACTAACTGAAAGCATTTATATGGCTTTATCTACACACAGAGATGGGTAGTGTTTGCTGTTTTCTCCCGCCCTAAGGCACAGACTCAGTAAAATGTAAATCACCGAAATTACATAAATATTCCAGGTCTCTATATAAATGGCATTACATTCTCCATATGTGAACATATTGTGGTAATCTACTTTTATTTTAGGTAGATTCCAAAATTCATTACAGAGTTTAGAAATACTCAAGAGAAGAATGCAGCTCAATGTTATAATGCAAGTGTCTATGAGGACACAAAGGAACGATAAATCATGATTTCTGTCCATTAGAAGGGAAGACGGATGTAAACATCTCAGATATTGCAAAGATGATATAATAATTAACTCTACAATCCATTTCTACAGTGGCAAATATGTGCATGGCACTCAGAGATACAAACATTGAAAATTCAAACAGAAAACATTTATTAAGTGATTATTGTGCAATATAGAAGTTTGTTCTTGAAGAGTTTACTTATAAAATACGATTTTGAAATGTATTTGGCTTAATTGCATGGACTCACTCAATGCACATATGTAATGAATTATGATTGGGGTCGCCCAAATATAGCAGAATCGTTAAAAAGAAGCTGGCCTGGTTTTAGAAGCATATTTTTGGAATTTATGGAACATTAAATAGAAAGAGAAATCTTGTTTCTTTTTTTATGAATGATAAGTGCAAAGAAACAATCGAATATTAAAAAAGATTTAAATAGCTTTTTAAATAAAAACTCTTGAATTTCCACATACAATCTTAAAGATAATATTATTTGTCATTTGCTTCAATAGACACAGGATTATGCTACTCCGTACCATATTAAGATCTAATATGAACATATTTTATCCTTGATGCTGGCTTTTTGTAATGCAATCGTATCTTTTTGAGATTCTTCCATATTGGCACATATGAATCAGATTTAATTTTTCATTTTCAGATGCATTCACCACCCACTAGGCAAGGGGAAAATGCAGGATATTGTTCCCTCTATATCTCAGCATCCAGGTGATAGGCATGTGAGCAGAGTTAAGCCAATTACATGCTCCCACCTGGGTACGGAATCTGGACTGAGTGATGCAAAGCATCCCAAGATGGTTTAGAACTGATTCTCAAGGCTGTGCTGGTGCTAGAGCCTTGGGGACAACATCAGACGCCCCTGGTGGTGGTTCCAGGAGCAGCAGGCAGAGTCCAGGGTCAGTAACACCCAGCCACCAGGAGTGGCACTGTCTGACAGGGAGAACCACAGTACACTGCTCAGAAGGCACCAACCCCACAGGTTTGTTGTGAGAATTAAATGTCAGGACATCCCAGCTACTTAGAACAATGCCTGGCACACAGCGAAAGTTCACTAGACCCATAATTACTAGAACATAAGTTCCATTATGCTAGGCTAGTTTTTTGGCTAGTTTTCCTCTTGAAGCTCCAGTGCCTAGAAGAGAACCTAGAAGACAATACGTGCTCAATATATATTCGTGAAATGAAAAAATGGTGCTATATTTGTAGGATTTCAGCACCCACTGGTTTCCATTGCTACCATACCTCATTCTCCAGGTTCCCATAATTCTGTGAGTCTCTTTGCCTCATTCTAATATATTTGTATTCTGCTTAAATTAACCAAAGTTATTTTCTGCAAACAGGACCATATACTTTCGGCCGTAATAGATATTAGACTTCCAATCAATAAAATCCTGGAAAATCTACACGTCACAAGAGACTTCACATCACAACACAGAGCAACATAAAAGAAGGTCTTTGTGAATTCTACAACCAAACTTTGAAATTATTATGCTGTATGGAGCTCCTAGTTAATTTCATTTATTTACCTTGTTTTCATAATTTAAAGGGTAATACCATGCACATGATATTAATTAAAATGGCATAAAAAGATATGAAAATAAATAATATAAAGGCCAATGGAAATAAAGCCCTTAAGGCTAGTCTTCCTCTCTATGGTTAACGGAGGTTTTTGCGTTTTTTTTGTGTGTGTCCTTCCAGCAATGTACTATTAATATATATAATTGTTTCTCTTTTATTACTTTTCTAAAAAACAGAAATACTATATGCATTTTTTTGTATTTGGCTTTTTAAACTTAAAACCATATATTTTTGAGGTTCTTCCATCAGCACATATGAATCAGATTTAATTTTTTTTTTAGGTGTATAGTGTTCTTTTAATTGGATATGCCAGAATTTATTTAGCCAGTCTACTTTTGAAGGACTTTTAGGCCATTCTAGACCTTTTTCGATAATGTGGCAATGAAACCCTTTTTCTACAGCCATACATCAGTAGAAGTCTAAATATACTGGATAGTTTCTCGGAAGTAGAATCATTGCCTAACAGAATTTGTAACTTTTAGTGCTGCTATATCTTACCTAATTGCCCTCCAAAATGGCGCTCCAATTTCATTCCAACCATTATTTCACAAGGGCCATTACAAAACACCTGGACGATTGTATAACATCTAACAGCCACTCTTCTTCTCCCTCCGTCTCTCACCCTCCCTCCTCCCATTGTCCCTCCTTCCTCATATTATCACGACTACTACTACTGCTAGTCAGAGAAATCAAACACAGTATGCAGCTGTTTTTTCATTTACATTTATTTACTTAAGAATGAGGATGTTCACATGTTATAAGCTAGGCCATTCAATTTCTTTGAAGAGCATTATTGAAAGAAATTCACATACTATAGAATTAACCCATTTAAAGCATACATACAATTCAAGGGTTTTTAGTGTGTTTAGATGGTGTTGCCATCATCACCACAATCTAATCTGAGAACACTCTTGTCTCCCCTAAAATAAACCCAGTATTTGTTAGCAGTCAGTCCTCATCTTCCCCCACCCAACCTCCAGCTCTAGGCAACCATTAATCTACTTTATGTCTACATAGATTTGCCTGTTCTGGACATTTCATATCACTAAAATCATAAATATGTGTTTTTTGTGAATGGCTTTTCTTAGCATAATGTTTTCAAGATAATATTCCATTGTATGGATATACTACATTTTGTTTATCCATTCATTAGTTGATGGACGTTTGGGTTTTTTCCACATTTGGGCTATTAGGAATAATGCTGCTATAAGCATTCATGTATAAATTTTTGTGTGAACATATGTTTTCAGTTCTGTTGGCTATACATGTAGGAGTGGCATTGCTGGATCTTACGGTAACTCTATGTTAACTATTTGGTGCCATTTTTACATCCCACCAGCAAAGTATGAGAGTTCCACCTTCTCATCTTTGCCATCACTTGTTTCTGTCTTTATGACCATAGCCTTTCTAGTGGATACACAGTGTGTCTCTTGGTGGTTTTGATTTTCATTTCCCTAATGACTGATGGTGTTGAGCATCTTTTCATGTGCTTACTGATCATTTGTATATCTTCAGAGAAATGTTTATTCAAATCCTTTGCCAATTTTTTATTTAGGTTAGTTTTCTCTGTATTATTGAGCTGTAAGAGTCCTTATTATATTCTGGATACAAGTCCCTTACCAGATACATGAGTTGGACATATTTTCTCCCATTCAGTTTGTGTGTGTATGGCGGGGGGAGTCATTCAATTTTAATGGGGAAACCAATTCATTGTTCAGTTTCTTACACAAGTTTCTGCATTAGAGTTGTTTTTCAAACTGACTTGGTTTAGTGGCCATTTAATGATAATCACTTTTTTCCGGTTTTTCTATAGACTGGAGACAATTGAGAGGTTATTTGTATCCATAAAAATAGGGATTAGCCATAACTCTTAAATGAATGGTTGTTATTAAAGCATTACTTAAACATAGACTATTCTAACTAGTTGAATGAGAGACTTGCTTGTGATTCAAATTATTTTGTGAAGCAAATTGTTTTTCCTGACAATAAGCTCATTATCACATGAGAATAAAGATTACTTGTTAAAGCAAGCTGTTATTTTGTTACATTAAAAAGAAATGGGGTAAGGCAAAGGAAATTTGCAATAGCAAAGTGATAGTTCAGGTCAGGTTCATTGGATGGCTAAGTAAACTTAGACATCCACAGAGTATCTGTACAGCTCACTGGGGTGTCCTTAAATGAAATTACTAGAGCGTGTGCCACGGGCAGAAAGGAGGACGAATAACTACAGGGTTTGGCTTAGAGCAAGAGAAAACTTTACCCATCATTATTATTGGTCTAATGCATTTATTCTATTTCATTACCTCAAAATCCTATGACCCAATTTAAAATATCATCTCAGCCATTGCTGACACTATAATTTGAAGTTCTTCTATTTAAAACTACTGCATTTGGAATGGTGGAATTAGACTATTTTAGGATTAATTATCTTTTTGACCAAGTCTTTTTAAGTATGATACTATACAGGTTGGAATACATTTCTTTTGGAATCCCTCCGTATTTTGATAAAAACCTTATGAAATGAGTTTATCAGTGATAATCATCTCAAAATATTACACTCATGTGCCTCTGAAAGGCAGCCCTGGTGTTGAAGTGTACATGGCAACATTCTTCTTTATAACATAATATGTTAATAGCATTCTACAAGTAAGGTATAAAGTGGTTTATACTATTCAGGAGAAATGTGGTGCTAATCTCGTTACAAAAATGCATTTTCTCCTGTGTTGGTAGTGACGAGTATAGTAACGACTTTTGTGTGAAAAGAGCTTTAGCATGTGTGGAGCTGGTGCTGATATCGTCTCTTCATCTTCCTGACAACCAGAGCTGACTTCTCTATTGAGTTTTCAGATAAAGAAACAGGCTGAAGAGCATTTTCCCTCATCCTCGATTAGAAAACTGGCCAAGTGGATGAGGTAAGATTCAAATCTAGTGGTTTTTTTCATATTTATTTTCCTTCTCTAACTACTAAGGTAAAAATCAAGTAGTGGAGAAAGATATAAATAAGGAAGAAAGACCTGTCTGTCTGTCTGCCTATAAGAAACTTTTTTTCCCATATGTAAGTCATGAACATCTTTTCACGTCAATATCTAGTCCTCATTCCTTCAACGAAATACACTGAATGATACTGTTTTCTATTTAATGTAACACATCGCATCAAATTATTTAAGCAATTCTTTTATGATAGATGTGTAAGATATACAGGTTGTTTCTACCATCAACTATTAAAGCCTGGCCTGCTTTAGACATACCTAAATATGCAAAGAACAATCTTCACACTTGTCTGATTAAAAATTCTAGAGACAGAATTGGTGGATGAAGAAGTATTGCCAAATCGTACATATCTATTCATACATCCACCAAAATTCAACACCCAAATGTCTATTTCTACTGCCCACTCAAAATCATTTTTTAAAAACTTTGTCAATCTGATAACTAAAAATGATCTATCTTTGTTGCCATAATACGTATTTTTGAAGTTGATCTTTTGATGGTTTGTTGGCCACTTCTAGTTACTCTTACAACTTTCTTCGGGTAATGTAGTCTGTTTTTTTTAAACTGAGTTTTGTCTTTGCTTTTTTTACCCTCATTTTTCATATCTCTTTATATAGTAAGAATATTAATTTCATGTCTGGTGTATTTATTGCATTTTTTCCAGCTTTGTCTATTTTGCTGTTCAGAAGAATTTTTTTCATTCAGTTGTAAAATATGTCAGTCCCTCACATTATTTTTGTTTATATTTCTTTTCGAGTCATAATCTTTCCGTTACTTCTCCACATAATGATTTGAAGGCCAAACTGATATTTGCTTAAAAAGAATAACATAAGTGCAGTTTACCTTGTCTTTCAAGCTTGAATTTTCCAAAGTCTTTTCCGTGTATATCACCTTGAAAAGTAAATCCTCCTCTTTCAAGTCCTGATGATACCTGACACACAAGAAACGGAAGAAAAAAATATGCATTAATAGGATTAACAGTAATCTCTTCATCATAATATAACTGTTATTTCTCATATTTAGATATCATGGGCTAAATATTTTGTTTTTTCCTGTTCCTTTCAGTGATACATTTATGGGTAAAGATTGGAAAATACAGACGTGAACTCCAGCTAACATATAAATTTTCACAATTTCATTTTGATCTTGAAAATGGTAGTAAATTTTACAACATATTAGAAGGTCCCCTATCCTTTGTAAAAGGGGGCAAACATGCACTAACGTATAACCTACGCTATGTCAAACTCACTTTGTGTCACAACTATCGGCTGGTGTACCTCATGGAATGCTGTACACCCTGAAGTCAGATAATGAACTAGAATACAAACAAATGGTTAACTTGCAACAAAGGATATTAAAGGGGGCATCTCAAAGTTCTCTGTTTCCCTGGGAATGACTTTTCTTTGAAACTTCCAATGGCCTTGGAAAGATCAGGGCACCACTTATATGGTGGAAAGTGGTGCTAACAAGCACAGAACATGGATCTACGTTCTTCTTTTGTCCCTGGCAATAACAACCCATGTGCTCATGGCCAATTTATTTCTCATTTCAGAGACGGGGCTTCTTCCATTATGAAATGAAGGGGTGAAGTGGCCATGCGGTTAAGAAGAGGAACTGACTGCTGGGTTTTCGAGGGGCAGAGACAACATGGCTTCTCAGAAAGAAATCTCCTCTGCTCTCTCACCTCCCCGCAGACGGTAATGACTGGAAAACCCATGCTCTGTGACAATCCTCACAAAGTACTTACATAACCATCGAGTCCCCAGTTGTCGTTTTCAAACTTGCTGACAAAGATATCTACCGGACCTTTAATCTGAAAAGCTTTCAGAAGTAAGTGGGCCTCCTCCTTCTTGTAAACGCCTACGAGAAGATTGAAGTCCATTATTCTCACATCGCAAGAATTCACAAGAGTTAATAATTCAGGCCTTCAATCCATTTGATTTGGAAAATGGTACAGAGATGATAATATCATACATAACAGAAATTATTGTGTTCATTTTTAAATTTTAGCTTCAGCACTTCTTTTTTTCCTTAAAATCACTTCTTGTGAACGTCCTCATCTGTCTTGATGGGTATAATCCATTTCACTAAATTCAACATTTTTATCCCACAGAAACAATAAAAGCGATATGCATTCAATTATATTAATTTTTAAAATTTAGCATTTTTTATTCATATTTTACTCACTTCTGAAAAGGATGTAGAAAAAAGAGACCATAACCATAACCCTAAATATAGCTCCTTATAAAGATGAATTGCACCCATTAATATGAAACAAACAGCATGGTGAACAAAGCACGATGGACATATTGTGTAGCCCAGCAGCTCTTGGGCATGAAGTGATTAAACAATCACTCCTCCCAGAAAGATTGCTTCATAATGATGCCCAGGGATGTCATGGCGGGGCATAGACAGGGAACGTCTCTGCAGCTACAGCTAGTTCCCTACCCAAAGGAGATAATAAACAAACAAACAAATAAATACACATTAAAGTATTAAACAAACAATGATGAACCCAAATGTCTCCTGTCCAGAGAAGACAGGTTCAGAGAGTGCACCAATTAATTCCCACTAAATCAGATGAGAGATGCAAAGCTCTAATATCCCAGGAATAGTCTGCATGGCCAAGCGCACAGGATGGAAGGGACCCATTGTTCAAGTCAACTGACAAGAAGGACCACTGAAGACTTTAATTTGGGCTGATGTCCATTTCCGCCATCAGCAGCTCTATGTTTTTGGCAACAGATTCAACCCCTAAAACTCTGAACCTGAAGCTACAGGTAGAGATAATAAAATATATCTTTATGAGATTTTTTTTTTATGCTCATTAAACAGCAGCCTCCAACAGAATCTCAGTGTCCTAGCTGGCACTACACAATGTTAGTTTCCCTTCCTCCTCGACTCTGGTTCCTAATCAGAATTCACATGCCAAGAAGTCTCCATATCCACTGGGACTCAGCTGGAAGAACACTTGATCCAAACGCTTTCCCAGTCTAGACAAGAGATTTCCCAATGCTGGTCCATGGAGATCAGCCGCACCAAAATCACACTGGGACATTTTCTTTGGGGAAAAAATAGATTATCTAATGTAGTCGGGTGAGACTAAGGAATCTAAATATTTAAAAAGTTCTTCAGTTTATTCTGATACACGACTAGGTCTGAGCACCGGGACTAAATCATTTACGCATTCACAGGTTTAAGGCACAAAGCAATGTGTGGGCCCCTAGACCAGGAATTCCTAAATATGTACCTGTTAAAAATCTATGAGCATGAATGATTCTGCTTTTCCTAAATCCAGGGTATGTGCACTGTTTTCAGATGTTTTCCCATCCAAGGAAGCAGGAAAGTGGGATGTGACGAATGGGGGAACATTTGACTTGTCATCATATTTTCTAAAGATCAATCACGGCTGTCTAGTGACCAGGGAGAGAGGAGGTGCCATTTGGGGGTCTCTTGGTGTTCAGAACCAGTCTGGCCTTGTGGATAACTCAGGGAGAGTCTTAAGCCTTTAGGAGTTAGTCTATAGAAAAGATATATTGTTGTAAGAAGTGAGTTTTTTTTTTATCATTTATTAGTTTATTCTGTCGCTACAAAACTCATTAGTCATTCATCATTTAAATATCTGACTTCATTAGAAACTATTTTAACATCTTTACTAAAATACAGTAAGTAATTTGCTTTAAAAAAAACCACAATGAACGAGTGTTCTGATTTCTTCTCACTCACCTACTATGCCCCTCAGAGTCAGCAGTCTGTAAACCAGTAAGACAGTAGGGCCGAAGACTGAGGGTCAAATGATCCTCCACTTAAAAGTGCTAATCAGCTATGGAACCTGCTCTCTCTACCTCTCCCCTCCATATCCTAACATATGTACAAAGATAAATAAAAACTTTTAAAAAGACACTAGGTTTAATCATGAAGGTGATTCTGTGCCTCATTGGTTAAGTGTGTGGGTTCAAGATGCTGTTTGCTGAAATTCTGACGCTGAGCTCAAATTCTACCCCTGCCGTGTCACCTTAGGAAAGCGACTCCTGGGTGTGCCTGTCTGTCTGTCTGTCTCTTCTCTCTCTCTTTTTAATTGATAAAAATGTGTTTAATAAGAATACTTACATCATAGGATTGATGTAAGAATAAAAAAGATGATATATGTGTAGTACTTAAAACAGTGTCTGGCATATAAATCAGAACTGTTGTTATTTTATTAATTGTGGGATGAGAAAAGAACTCATTAGGAGCAATGAGTTAAAAAAAAGGATATCAAAAGAATGAAGTTTGGAGACGTATATCTGGATATAAATCTCACATCTTTGATTTAATATGTTACGTGCATAATCTTGAGCAAATTTATTCACTTTTCTGTACCAGTTTTTTTCTTTTTTACTTTGCCCAACTGTTAGACTAATGTAAGTCTTCTGAGCATGTTTTTTCTTTGTTTTTTTGAGGAAGATTTGCCCTGAGCTAACATCTGTTGCCAATCTTCCTCTTTTTCTTTTTTCTCCCCAAAGCCCCAGTACATAGTTGTGTATCCTAGTTGTATGGCCTTCTAGTTCTTCTATGTGAGCCATCTCAGCATGGCTTGATGAGCAGTGTGTAAGTCCACGCCTGGGATCCAAAGCAGCGAACCCCGGGCCGCCAAAGCAGAGCGTGTAAAGTTAACTGCTGCGCCACCAGGCAAGTCCCTCTGTACCGGTTTTGAAATCTTTAAAGTGAGACAATAATACTAATCTACCATGGTTATTGAGACGAGTCAATGAGATGTACTTTATGCAAAGCCAACGTGTTGTTAATAAGTATTTAATAAATGTTAGCTCTCTCCCCTGTGACATAAAGTTCTACTTCTGCTCACGTTACATGTTTAGGAAAACTCCTCAGGGCCTACCTGTCAGTCTCAGCTCCACCTGAGAGGTTTCAGCGAAGGTCGCGTTCACCTGACTACTTGTTGCATTGAACCAGTCCACAGTTAGAGTTGCCGGTTGTCTTTTCCCCAAGTATTCATAATATCCTTTCCACACTGAATTGATGAAAAATACATCTGAAGGAACTGTGCGGGGGAAAAACAGATGAATGAATGTTAGCACACACAGAAAAATTAAATTCAGATATTTTAAAACAGAGAAGGCATAATACTGCTCAGTGAGACATCACAAATAATGACAATGAAGACAGATGATGGATCCCAGTGTCCCCTCATAGCACGTGTAAACATCAAATGAAACCGGGGGGGAGACTATCGTGAGGTGCAAACACACACTTTTTACTTTGTTGGAGAAATATTTTAGATGCCAAAGCACACCTGATTCAACAGACCTGCCAAGGCCAGAGGGTATGGTGAAGTGGTACTACTACTATGAGGTTAGATTTGATTGTGCTTAATAAGAAATATGTTCAACTGACCCAGGAAATCACTACTGATATTTCATTTAGCATCCAAGTCTACTCCTTGAAAGACTTGGAAGGCTCAGAAGAACTGACATATATCCTCTGTCAGGAATCTCCTGCCCTCAAGAAGCTTGCGTTTCAAAGCACCACTTTGACTATACACACCCAGCATATGAAGACAAAGCTGTTTTATTTCTTGAGGACTTTATTTTGTAATTAGAGCCAATCTCTCATCCATGCTCTTCTACTCTACTTTAATCTCCTTGTAAAAAATATCCCAATATTGGTAAGAAAGTTGGATTCAATGATGTCAAATGTCATACATATATATATATATAAATGACATTATATATATAAATCTTTCTTTTAAATTTAGAAATAAAAGGCATAAAGTCTTTTTAAAACATTAAAATTCATCTAGGACAGGAATACTTGCAAAGATTATTAAGATATTCTCTCTTGTTTTCACTGGTTATAAAAAAAATTAAACTTATTTTTCACATTTCTGCTAATAAATGTATACAAAATCCTGCCATTTTCACAATATTAATATAAAATTTTACAGAATAACTGATGTAAATTTACATCAAAGATTCCACTAAGTTTCTCTTTGCTTTTTGCCTCATGATGTGGCTAAACTGTTTAATTAGATAAGATCCACTGTAAGTAGAATTGGTCAGAAAGTATCATTTGACTATCTGGGTAGAAATAAAGATGCATTTCTCCCTATATGTGTTTTTTAGCAAATCCACTTATAGCAACAAATGATGACACAAAGATACTGTGTCTGTGTTCATGCTCTTTTCAGTCCAGTTGGCCATTTTCCTGTGTCCCACACAGGCTAAACCTACAAAACATATCCTAGCAACACAAGAGTTAAAGAACAGAATGTAATCACTTCCTACAGCTTTGAATAGACCCAACATCCTAATGATAATCATTTAAAAAATTAAGTGCTGGGGCTGGCCCAGTAGCACAGCAGGTAGGTGCGTGCGCTCGGCTGCGGCCGCCAAGGGTTCGCAGGTTGGGATCCCGGGTGCGCACAGACACACCACTTGTCAAGCCAAGCTGTGGTGGCGTCCCATATAAAAAGTAGAGGAAGATGGGCATTGATGTTAGCCCATAGCCAATTTTCCTTGGCAAAAAGAGGAGGATTGGCATTGGATGTTAGCTCAGGGCTGATCTTCCTCACCAAAAAATAATAATAATAATAATAAAAATAAAAAATTAAATGTTTAAAACTGAGATATCAACACAGGCATCTAACACATTTGCTTATTGATAAGTGACATTAAACACTTCTACCCCTCCATCAGCAGCATCACAGAGGCCCAGTTTTAATCCACAAGCTGAAAATCAATTTATTTTCCTTCACTAAAATTAATAGCCTTTAAGATAATATGAAGACTCTTTTGCCCAATTAGAATTTATACACTCAGCTGAGCTATTAATGCACTTGTTCAAGTCACTCACTTAAGTTAGTCTTGTTGGCATATCAGAGACATGGGTCACAACTGACTGGGTCAAGTAAGGCATAACCAGTGTCTGAGAAGTGGCTTATTTGTATTCACATCTGACCATCAGTGATGTGGTAAGATGGGCTTTTTGAGTCCTTGTCATTTGACTTGTTGTTGGTAGCTTGCAGTGTAATGCAATCGAAAGTCGAGGTGTGTTAGGATGTGCCGCCTTGATAAAGAACCATATTTAATTAGCACTTCCCTTCAGAGAGAATGACGTAACGTATACTTCAAAAAAAAAGTGTGCAGACATTTTAGTATCTTAAACGAAAAATAAACAAACAAAAACAGAACAAACACACCACCACCACCACAACAGATTGCATTTCCTTCCACTGAGGAGAATGTTGCCTGGATAAGGAGTATCAATATCTGCATTTGATTTGTAAATAACACTTAAATACAGTAGTCCAGAAAGATTACAAAAAAAGTAGTTTCTATACTTCATGGTGTACATTGAAGAAATTCCTTTAATCACACTGGGACATTTTGCCTCGTCTAAGAATTAAATGTGTAACACAGCACTGTGACTTAACAATAGCATTACACACATTCTTTCCACATTTGGTTCTAGAAAAGAGATTTATGTCTAAGATTTACATCTAAGAGTGGTTAAAACCCAAATAAGGAAAACACTAGGAAAGTGGCCTTATATATTTATGAAGCTTTTCTATTTCTGTTTAAGAAAAAAAGCTTGACTTACATTATAATTTGGGGACACACTGTATTATCTAACTAGTCTCTGAATTTATAACACAGATACAATATGCCAGATGATCTGGAGTAATGAACACCCTCCTTGGGAACCAGGACCGCATCTTTCCAATTTGCTGTATCATGCATTTAGCAAGCCACACATACAACAAAAAGCAATAATTAATATTTTAGGAGGCTGAGGATGCCTGAATTATGGAGATACTTGAAAAAAAATGGAGCTCTACATTTGAACTGCTCAAATTAAGAGTTTATGCTGTCATAATGCCTCATTTACTTTAGCTTCCTCATTTAGAGGAAAGAATCGCAACCCTCTTTATAAGGCTCTCCATTATATCACATTCTATCATCAACATGTCATATCCATTTCTGCCTACAAAATGCCTAAGGCACCTTTTAATGAAATAGCGTGCGATAACACCAAAGGTTTTCCTTTGAAGTAAAGTATTGTTATTCTATTAACAAACCACTGCTAGGAAAGAAATAGAAATCTGCACAGGCTTGCCGTTTTAAATAATTGAAACATTAATTTGCTCATGGACTAATGGAATCAGAAATTTGCATGTTAAAATTTGTTTCACTGTACAGTGTAGAGTGGGGAACAAATTACTTCATTTGATTTAAATCTGTAACTGTTCTGGTATACAAACCTGGAGTTTTAGTAACTGTTTCATTAACTTCTCTCACTCCTTTACCTACAAGTAAAAAGACAAATTATCATTTTCAAAAACATTTATTTTTGAATAAGTTTGAAAAAATGTCAAATTGAAGCAATTTTCCTTTCTCCAGATTTCTTGAATGTACAAAATATAAATATCTTATACATATCCATTGTAAACCCATATATTCACAGCAGAATATCCATGGTGTTTATGGGAAAACTGAGTATAATGGTGAAAATCAAGGCAGACCTAACGTGTCTACTTGCATTTGGTGTGCTACAACAGAGAGCCTTGCAAAGGAGGGTGGTTTATACCCATCTTCTGACTCTTGTTTGGGGCATGCTGCCCCTAACTAAAAGGTAATATACAGAATAATTAAGATTTCATAACCTCCTAATTTTCCAAGTCCCCACCCAAATCAATGAACTTACAAGTTCATATTGAATAACACCAAATTATTTCCCTTGCAGAATGCTTAATCTGGTCAATCAAATTAGATTTAACTCATCATCTCTTAGCTTTTATAGTTTTAATCAAACTACAAACTATCATTTTGTAAAGTTTGTATTCTTCTTCTTCTGACAGAGAAGGGCAATAAAAACATAAGTGTCTTAAGAATTCCTAACTTGAGAACTATAAATAGGCTCCAGGAAACCAGACCTAAAGTCACGGATTTCATCCCACTTCATAATTCCTGTTTATGCTGTTCAGGTCTGGATGAGTATGTAATCTGCGTTTGGTGGGGAACCTCAAAGGTTAGCTATCATTAGATCTGACCCACAGTTATTACTCTCATTTGTAAACACACAAATTTGTAACTAATGCATCATTTCCACTTTAACTGCTTTTGTAATTTTGAAAAGTAGAACCAATGTCAAGAACACTTAAACATATTCTACCACCAAACAGCTTGTGGTCTTAAAAATAACTAAGTTTAATTTATACATTTACCAACATTTCGTCATATTTGCCCCTTTTCATTTTAAAAAATACATTTTCCAAATACATATCACATATTATTTTCCTTTTCACTCATAATATTTTTCTTCAACCAAATAGCTTTTCTCTTTGGCTTAAAATGTATTAGCCAATAATAAAATCGACATATCTACGTAGCCTATGCCTCCATTGTATCAGACACTTATTACACACACATTCACACACACACGGCTCACACACATTAAGCACAGATTGAGTCAGGGTGACTGACATCACTTCCATGATGGAATTTAGTTATGGGTCTTAAGCTTGGACCTTAGCCTGATGGGTAGTTGGTGCTCGTCTCTGCTCTGCAGGAATGTATTTTCACCTCCTCCTCAGTGACTTACTTTTACAGACAGGTGATTTCCCTGTCCATTTCATATCTGCTTTGCACGTCCTGTGCTCAGATCCCCCCGCGAGGAAGAATCCCGGATGGCAGGTGTACACTAAAGTGTAACCGAAGGTAGGAAGATCGATGGCTCTCACATCCGCGTGGGCTGGTGTTTCCGGCTGTCTGCAGGCGTGCGCTGAAACGGTATTCATTCCATTAGGAAACTCTGAAACCTGTTTCATTATAGAGTTAGCATATGTGTCTAAAGAAATACAGCAAAAATTTGGAAATGTGGGCTGGCCAGGTGGCGTAGCGGCTGGGTTCCCATGCTCCACTTCTGTGCCCCAGCGTTCGCAGGTTCAGATCCCGGGGGTGGACCAACACATGGTTAACCAAGGCGTGCTGTGGCAGCATCCTCCATACAAAATAGAGGAAGATGGGCACAGATGTTAGCTCAGGGCTGATATTCCCAACCAAAAAGAGAAAGATTGGCAACGGATGTTAGCTCGGGGCCGATCTTCCTCACCAAAAAAAAAAAGAAAAGAAAAGAAAAATTTGGAAATGGCTATAGAGTTAGTTTACAACTTAAAATTGTGAATACAGTCGCTTTAAATATCACCAATATTCTTGTCTTTGCAATTTTCAACATAATGAAGGCTTGGTATTTGCCAGCTCTCTCTCTCCTTCTTTCTCCTTCTCCCCCTCTTCCTCTTCCCCCTCCTCATCCTTACATATATATGGATATGTATCCATATAGCCTTCCATCCGGTATGTATATACATACACATATATGTACGTATACCTCTCCCTCTCTACATATATGTGTGTGTAATTAATTATGTGTAGAAATTTAGAATAGAAATCATAGCTTTGAAATAGATCACTACTGATACACTGTTAAGATAAATAATGTGTTCAACTTCCTTAAAAGATCAGTCTTATAAACTAAACACACACAGATTGATACACATTTAGAAATATGTATTGATTTTTGTCTTATGGTAATTAGCAAATTTACTGTTCAGTTAAATGAATAATTAATTTTGGTAAAAATTTGATGCATGTTTAGAAACTTAATTGAAGTATTATAGATTCTTATTTCTTTTAAAAATATAATTTATTAGTAAGTATGATTATAACATTTAGATCTCAAATAACTTTTCATTCTTTATAAAGTTCACATATACATCTCACATATACTTGGCAGATTATTATAAAACAAGATTACAAGATTAAAATTGTGAATGCAATCATTTTAAATATTGTAATATTTTGTAATTCAACAACCTTTCAACATAATGAAGATCTGATATTAGCAAGTTCCACACACAGAAACACACATATCTATTATATCTATTATATTATATACATATGTATCTATTACATATAATTATACTATATACATATAAGATACCTGTGTGTGTCTGTAATATCCACATATACAATTTGAGTAGAGATGATAGCTTTAAAATAAATACATATCTGATAATACTAATAAATAAATATTAAAAAATCACATATACTATTAAAATAATTTTTTATAACATTCTACTGTTCTTATGTTTAACAGTAAGAGTGAGATACTAAATTTCACTAAATTGATGGAGGATGAAAAATTGACTTACTAATCGTTCATATAACATTTCTTCTAATTTTCACGATTAAGTCACAAAATTAAAATTTGATCCTAAGTAACCATTTGAATGATCAATTCACCTAGACTTCAATGACAACACTTTTTTGTGTGTGTGAGGAAGATCAGCCCTGAGCTAACATGCATGCCAATCCTCCTCTTTTTGCTCAAGAAGACTGGCCCTGAGCTAACGTATGTGCGGATCTTCCTCCACTTTATATGGGACGCCTCCACAGCATGGCCTGACAAGCAGTGCCTCGGTGCGCGCCCTGATCGGAACCCGGCGGCCAGCAGCCCACCGCGCGCACTTAACCCCTACCCCACAGGCCTGCGCCTCAAAGATAACGTTTTAAACTTGTCTATTTGTACTCTGACATGTCACACGGCCCAGTTTACCGCCTCTTCAATAACTTGATGGAAACTGACTAGAAGAATAATAATATGCACCACTCAGTTTTCTCTCTGCGAATGGTAACTAATGTTATTCACTCATCTTTGGCTTCCCCTAGTTTCTCAGACTTGGTGGGCCTCACTATCACCTGGGGGCCTGGTAAACCACAGGCTGCCCCCCTCCCCTTTACTCCCCCACCCACCCCCAGCCCCCAGCGCTCCTGAATCAGCAGGTCTGGGGGGGGTCTCGAGAAGTCGCGTTACCGCCAAGCTCCCAGCTGATGCTGGCGCTGCTGGGTTCTAGGGAATCAAGCTTTGAGGAACACTGGTTTAGGGGATTAAGAACCATCAAACAAACAAAAATAAAACAGTCCCTCATTATTTCCCTTGAAGGGAAACCCTTCCCAGACGTTGGAGAATGAAGAGCGTATTGCTGAGCGTGGAGGAAGAAACCGCACTTACGTATGCATTCGGTCTGCATGCCGCTCCACGTTAAATTGGCCAGGCAGGTTCGAGTCGTGGAGCCTTGGATGTGGTAACCTTTTCTGCACCTGAAGAACACCATGCTTCCCACCTAGAGAGGAAGTCTGACATTAGCTTCAGAGGCCAAATGACATGCTTGGTATAGGCGCGTCACGGTGGAAGGCAAGTTCCAGGGTGAGAGTATACCAGTAATTTTTCACTTTTTTATCAAGCCAGTGTTTGAATCGACGTGTCTATTTAAACTGCATGTTAAAGTATTATACACAATGCAGATTGCTCGATGTGTAACGTGAGATCTTGGATTTTGGTGAATGATGATCATTTAAGAGGCAGTTTATTTGGGTATCGAAAGTAACCTTATTCTCTTTCATCGTAGCCTTACCTCTCTTTAGTTTGTAATAATTATTTTTTCCTTTTCCATTTTGCGCGCTACTCTTATTTTAAGCAATTGGTATTCATTAGTAAATTACTTTTGTTAACTCTCCTGGGAACTGGCCAACTCCTGCTCTATCGTAGAATCCTTCAAAACTCCATCTGTCCTTCTGGAGGGTCAAACACGGGAACTATTTATTGCTACGCAAATGTCTGAAACACCTTCCCACCAGACCTTTACCAAGCTAATCCTCATCTAATTCTCTATACTTTGCTAAATTTCACTTCCTCTGCGCATTCCTTCCTGATCTTCCAAGACTGCATCATGTGCTGCTTTCGTGCATTTCCCCAGCATCAAATGCCCATGGTGTCACTTACTACAATGCACCAGAAGTGCCTGTATATTTATCTATTTTCCTAATTTAACTGGAGGCGCCTTCCATCGGGGATTCCCAGTGGTCACTAAACATGTTTTTAGAGAATAAGTTATCGTCCTGTACTGAGGACACCAAAGATCTCCCATGATCACATATGTCTGGAACATGAGAACAGGGGATGGGGAAACAGAAGAGGGAAAGAGCCCAGCTCACACACAGCTGCTCCAGGCCTGGGAGGCAGCTCTGTGTACATCTTAGTCCCACTCAGGACCACGTCATTGGCTAAGGCTTTAATTATGAAGCACGTAAATGTCCAGGTGAGAGTCCATCCTGATACCTGCTCTGAGGATTTAAACCAGTTATTTAATTCCTCTGTGTGTGTTTCCTCCTCTGGGTCAGTCCCTAGCTCCCTCCTTGAGATTTTGGGAAGAACAACTATGAGTAAAACATGTGGCAAGAGTTGCTACACTGAATAGTGATGAAGAATGTCAGAAAAGAAGAGCTGCCTCTTAGCTCTGGCACCTAAAAGTAGAAGTAGGAATTTATAAAGAAAAAAATTCAAATTTCTCCAAAGGTCAGATGAATAACTAATTGGAGGATCAAAGCTTCATTACCTTCCATTTTTAGGTCTTCCTCCAATATTACCTGAGTGTTAATGTACTTTTTATTTAAAAAGTCAAATGAACTTTCAAAAGTGATATTGAGTATCCTAATCATTCACATAGTTAGAAAAAATCATATGGAGACGAGCTATTACAAAGTAGGGTTAGACTAAGAGGCTTGAACTAGAATTTAGTATTATTCATCCATTATATCAAGTTGCTAAACGGGTCTTTTTATGTGTAGTTATTCAGTGACAGGTTAGTTTGATTTGAGAACTGCCATGTCAGTTCAGTAGACAAAAAATACAAAATTATGCATGCTTTCAAATATAAATTAATATAGCAATTAACTACTGTGTGAATTAAGATACACAGTTATCTCAATTTTGACAGTTAAAATATCATGCAGAAATCCTCTCTAAATGAATTTTATTTGGGCAAATATAACATAAATCAGATATGGTACAAAAAAACATACACATATGTTTAAGTACCAGTTACATTTTATACTTACAGAAAAACATAGTAAAATAAAAATGAAATACCTCATATCCTCTTGAGCTATTTTGTATTCCAAAGTGTGGAGTACCAGGGTCTGGGCAGGTGTTCTGAGCAGGATCTGAAATTCACATGTAAAAAAAACCAGAGTACCAGACATGGTTATTAAAGGAATTCTAACATTTTTACTAAAATGTCCTACAAAATTGAGAAAATTGTGTTTTGACAAATGTGCAAGATGTTTTGCATGCAAGTTAAAAATTAAAGTAAATTGCTATTTTCATCTTCTTTTCAAACACCTTTAGATATTAATCTTCAATGCTTTATCAGACTCTAAATTGCTCTGTATGTTATTTTCTATATCAGAATAAGCACATTCTTTTCCATTCTCTGGTTTAATTTTTCTCTACTGGCATATTATACTGGTTGGTTAATAATATACTATCTTCAATAATTCTCTCTTTTGATCCTCTGTTTTTTTAAGGATTCAATTAATGGCCATCTGCTTTGGTCATCTAAAATTTATTCCAAATTTCTTGAATTAATTTTCCTCAAGATTCAAAATGAGAAATATATTGAATGCTTCCAAATTGAAGCATATGGTAGACCAACAGTGACATTTTTCTAAAAAATGCAGGACTTGAGCAATCAGAGAGCACTGTATTTTTATTATTTTCTGCTCTCCAGCTGCTAGTGTGGAAAAAAAGTAGTTAACTTAAAAAAATTTTTGTTTTCAAGAGAAAAATGTTTTCTAGTATAGCAATATACTGCCATATAGCAGTAGTTCAAATCAAATGGCAAGAAACATTCTTATAATTAGAAAAAGCTGTGCTTCAATGAAATGATCTCTAATCCCACCTTTATTTTTAAGTAGATGTCATTCAACTTCTTAGAAAACAACCAAGAATAAAACTCATTAATTGTTTACTACACACATGCAGAACGCCCATCCTTCTGCTCAGTTAAGCTGGTGAACAAGATTAACCCAGCAGTAAACTTGAGTCTGCAGCAGTGAGGGATGGAGAAAATCGCTCCGAATGGAGAATGAGGGGTTCTGGTTTCTGTGCCACTCACCGTGTGACTTTTGACAAAGATAATTTCTATCTCAACCCTTTCTATGAGGCAGAGATTTAATCTAAAAACGAAGAGTTTAGGTCATATAGAAAGTCTCTTCTGACTTGCAATTTTCATTCTCCTATTCTGAGGTCACCAGAACATAAGTGTCCAATGCAACTCTTCCTACCACTGCTGATAGCACAGGTGGTTCAGGGGTGACTGAGAGACGTGCATGGAATGGAAGGCCGTAAACCCACGGGAGGCTGGGATCCTGGTGATGGCTGTTCCAGAGAAGGGCCATGACAGCATTGTCAACAAAGCTGTCTTTCCCCTGGAGAATGCAGTTGTCAGTTGAGATGGTCAGGAGATGGAGATGCTGAGGCAAGAGAGCATAGCCTAGCAGCTATCTTAACAGACTTCTAACTTAAACTCCAGATTTAGTCTGCCCTACTTAATACAGGTTGCACACCGGCTTGGCTGATTAGCACTTCCACAAAGAATTATCTACAGGAATATCCTATGTACCCACAAATGACCGATTTTAGGATGAACTGTCCTCATCCCCAAACACCCTCAGGGCTGCCCTGTCATGATTACCGATGCAAGTGGGTTGTATGCCACTCCACGTGCCGTCAGCTTGGCAGACTCTTCTGGAAGATCCCACCAGTATGAAGGGGGATTTGCACTGGAAGGAGACTTCAGACTTATAGGTGAAACTCTTGCCACTGAGTCGTCCCTCTGCAGGGGTGCCTGGGTCTCCGCAGAACACGGCTGTTGAAAACAACAAAGTCAGCTAACATCACTGTCCCTGGATTAGGTTACCCTATTAAATTTGTTTAACTAGTTCCTGTTAAATCTTTAGGTATAACTCATAAACCAATAAATGACAGAAGGGACAGAATCTGCCCTGGGGCAGTGCAGTCTCAAGTTTGAGTGTTTGCATATTGTAACAGGGCTCTCCATTACACATGGCTCTTTTCCTCCAATTGCAACCTGAGGGTGCGCTCGCTGGTGCTGTTGCAAACGTGACCCGAGGAACGAGTTTTGCCGGAGCACTTACGCAGGCATTGGGGAATCTCCCCTTTCCACACCCCACGACCTTCGCAGGACAGGATGGCGGCATGAGAAGGCTGGTAGCCGTCCACACAGCTGTAGCTTATGCTGGCGCCCCAGTGGAAATCCGCTCCCTCCACTTTTCCATTCTGCACTTGAGGAGGCGGACTGCACGTGACAGCTATTTCCAAAGAACAAACAAGATTAAACTTTCTAGAGCTTCTACCACCACTGCGATGCTCAAATGATCCACATTTTAATTGTACCGGAATTACCAGTGACATCAACGTAGAGTTGTGTTTTTTTACTAAAAGAATGATTGAGGAAGACAATAAATCAAAATAATATAACTTTTCTCCAATATTTCTTCATTAATTTAGATCAAGTACATAAAAGCAAAGCAAAGTCAAGACATATCACACTGTAACAGAAAGCAGGATTGAACATGACATTCTCAATATGTACGAGGCCAGAAAGGAAGAAATACTCTTATTCAATTTACATCTTCTTATGATGGAAACCAAGGACAAATCAAATCAGGGCTCGGTCACATGACGTGAGACACACTTTTGAATTTATATATACAGGTGGTAAGAATTTCTCCTGCAGTAGTTTTTTCTTTATTTAAAGATAGCATATAATTTCCAAAAGACATAGTCTGTTGATCCATTTGCTGAATAATTACAAAACAAATGCTTGAATGGTTAAAGAAGATTCTGTAAAACACCACTTGCCAGTGTTTTATAACAATCTCGGAGCCTGATGTCTACTTTGCGCTTGGAGCTGCAGAGCAAGAACACAGTTCTCATGGGTGATCTGCCAGTTGGTGATGGACCCACATATCTACCTTTCCTACTCTAGCCATTGTACTAAGATGCACCATCTAAACATCTTCTTCCCTGAAGAGCCAAGAGCTGGATTTTTCGCATAGGAGGTTTTCCAATGACAAATTAGGCAGCAGGAGAAGAGACTCACCTGCGTTATTTTCTTATGCATGCTCAGACTTTCTCGTGTGAGAAAGACATATAGATGCACACAGAATCACACGTGCATACTCAACAGCTGGAAATGGGCCCTTCTGTTGCCATTCAACCTTCCATCCATCTATTTGTTTTTTCAATGAAAAGGCCCCCAGTAATGAGTAACTTGGTTCAACAAAGGGGATGATGAGGGTAACTACCAGGAGAAAAGTTCAGGGGGAGAGAGAGTGATCTCATATGGAAGGGCCTAGTTGGCCATGGGGTTAATTATTAATGCAATGGATATTAAAAAGAGGAACACCCCAACAGAACTTTGTGAGTTTCATTAATATTTATCTAGTGCCTGCTATGTAACAGGCATCATATTAATAATTGCAGATAGAAGGAAGAACAGAAGACAGTGCCATCCTTGCACTCTAGTGGGAGGTAAAACGAGAACAGTCCAAGACCATGCCCATGTCAGAAGGGAGAGGAAGCCATCGTGTTGAACACTGAGATCTCATTCAGCCCTCACAACAAGCTCTGTCTACACAAGACCTGCCTGTCTTTCAGAGCCCATTGAAGATGGCCCTGTCCATCAATGCTTCCCAGTGTCCCCACTCTCCACTCTCATAGTATTTTATCTGTTCCTAGTCTAATAAGGAGTGAGACATCACATTTTTGTGTTTGATCACTGACAACTTTCAAGCCCCACTCCTCTCCCTCCCCCCGCCGCCCGCCTCTGGGCCAGCTGAGGAGAAAGCCTGCAGGCTCTCTCTCTGGTGCTGGTGGAGAAGTCCTAACCCTATAAAACAGTGTCCCTGTACAGCTTTCACCAGCCCCACTCCCTTGTCACCGTAAGGGCCCAACCCACTCCCTCTACTTTGCTCAAGACACCTAGACTGGCTTCAGCCTGCTCTGCTCTCCCCAGAAAGTCCAATTGTAGGAGTCATAAAACTTTCCATACCATTTCCATATTTATGTGGCATCCTCAGTCTCAGCATCTGAATCCCACAAAACATCATGGCACTAACATTCTCTGCCATTATTTGATGATTAGCTTCCCTCTCTACCCTGACTCTAAATCCCTATAATTATATTCCCCATCATATCTGCCATAAGACTCAATACAGCCAGGGTTAACATGCTTACTGAGAGAGCAAAGCATTAGGATTCAAACCATAGACTTAGAGGTAGTATGACTGTCATTTGAATCCTGACGTCTCCAATCCCTGATCTGTGATCCTGAGCCATTTACTAACTCTCTCTGTGAGTCCGTCTTCCCATCTGTGAAACTGAGATTAAAGTATTAAGAAAATGAAGTGATTTAATATTTGCAAATGAGTTTACAAGAATTCCTAGCACATAGAAGGACTACATAAATGCTTGCAAAATGAAATAAAGCATAATTCAATAAAGACTTCTATCTGTCTGAGTGAAACCACCAAGTACTGACACAGACCTCTGCAGACAGGCTTGCTGTGATTCCACGTACTGTCTTTGGTACAACGGATAGTGGGGGATGTGACGGGCTCCATGAGGTAGCCGGGGTTACACTGGTAGCTCACGGTCTTATTGAAGGTGAAATCTGCCCCAAACTGGATGCCATTGGCCAGTGTACCCGGATCGCCACAGCTTATAACTAATAAGCAGGAAACAAAAAAGAATTAGAGAAATAGCAGATTATCATGAAATGAATTCGTCACAGTTTTTATTCAAGTTACTCTCCTTAAGCTGCCACTTAAAGTGATTAAGCAGTGAATTATTATAGCAATTCTGTCCTCTGTCTGATGGTTTTACTGACTGGCTGTCAGGTGGCGATGTCTTTGGAATCAAGTATGTCTATTCCACTGGTGGTCGGCTGTGTGGATGCCGGCTGCCATCCTTGTCTCGTCCCTAATAAGGCATGGTGCGTAATCACACCACAAAGTTATGGACACAGACACAGGCTGTGGTCAGAGAACCAAACACCTTTGTCATTTCCTTGCAGATTGGTCTACACAGAGAGAAAACTTCGACTATTTTTGGCATCAGTTTTACAATGTCCAACCCAGACCAACTGGCCATTTAAAGTAGTGTCAACCATATAAATAAGAAAGTAAAGAAAAATCTAAAAGTATCTAATAAATAGAGTCATAATAGCAAATATATGGATATCTTTTCTTCTCTATGTATTAAAAAATGAATAAAACACTTTAGAAAATAAATTTATTTTTCTCAATCAAGTAGATATCACGGTAATGTCCTTGAGTCTAGCGTGACGGTTAGGTACGAACTTGTGCAGTCCGGAGCTGTGCCTGTCCAGGTCCCATTGGCCGTGCAGTGCCGAGTCATCAGCCCCGAGGTCTTATAGCCCTCCCAACAGGCGTAGATGACCGAGCTGGAGAACAGGATGCCATCGCTACTGACAATCATGCCGTTGGTGGGCGTGCCCGGATTCCCACAGGACACAGCTGTGAGGGACACAGAAACAGTGACACACCAAGAGTGTGATCCATTACTAAAACATCAGATACAAGAGACCAAGGTCATCAGTGTAATAGATGACATATTTATTTAAAAAAATAGGACATATTACTATAGAAGATATTTACTTTGGGACTCATCCATTATTTCATTGATGAGTTACAAATGTGAAAATTATATTTTCATGTTATCCCTTCTAAAGTGCATTACTTCAGAACAAATTAAAAGATGAGTCAAAGCTTTGAAAATTCAAAGCCTTGCTACTTTGAGATTTAACATGTTTATAATATAAAAATAAAATTATTATGATTTTAAAGGATCTATTTGATATTAGCAACTCAGAAGTGCCTCCTTTCGTGCAACAGCTGAGTTTTTAAAAAAATCTGCACAAATCAGGTCATATTTTATATCTCTAGGATAATTCACTTTGAAGAATAAGGGATGCTTGAGGAATATGAATGACTACACTTAAACTGTTTTGCAAGATGTCTCCTCAATGTCACCAAGTCTAATGGCAGAGGTGTGAATTGGCTTTGGCACGGCTGCACTTTACGTTCTCTCCAGATGATCTTTATGGCGTGCACAGGCATTGAGACTTCAGCTAATGATGGGCAGTGCAACAGGTCTATACTCCAGCTATCCTGTGTGTGCCTTAGTTCGGCACACTGAAAGAAAGTTCGGCAGCTGCTGGGTATGCATCAAGGCGATGAGTTTAATCTATAACAGCTTTTTTTTTTGCTTTCTGTAGTTGAGCCTATGTATCATAAGGACAGTTATTTTTCCTCCTTAACCCTCCTACAATAATGTACAACAGGCAGACACATAAAGAATGCAACCCTTGGCTGGATTTTAATAACAAGAATGTATCGTGAGACCATTTCTGAGAATGACCAAAATATTTGAAAATACTCATGCCTATTTAGTTGCTCTGCTTTCAAATCTAGCCTCGAGAACAAAGATACACTCTTCTTAAAAATATGGAAGAAAACAGACTGCAAAATGTATGTAGCATAGAAAAGCCACCATAATGGAAGTTGAGGGAATTGCCTATTATATCATGCTGAAAATGCACTCACCCTCAGGTTGGACTAGATCTTGTTTGACAAATATAAAGCACACACGCTCGTGCTTCTCTACCATGACAGACATAACTAATCAATCATAACCCTCTTCCCGGATGAGTCTGGGTTTGAACTTAAATCCTTTCTAACACAGACCTTTCAGTAGTTTTTTGGTTGGCATTTGAGATGAGATATATTTACCAATCCTGAAGCAGATGACACCTAATATTCTCTAAAGCTCAAAAGTTCTATGATGGCTGTGATATAAATTAAAATTTCATATTGCAAAAAACCAAGATGTTAGACTATCCAAGACAATTATTCATTCAACAAACATGGATTCATCACTTAGTATGCAATATTTATTGTGTAGAGGTCATAATGGAAAGCCTGACATAACGAAGAATTATATGGATCCAATTCATAATTTAGCAAACCAACAAAAGACACACATGTTGTTTTATTTTATTCTAATCATATCTGCTATTAAAATCTAAGTAGCAATTTTCAAAAGTCCCCTGTGAAGGACTAATGCTAAAATGAACCACACGATTGGTGAAATATATTCAATTTAATTTATAGACAAATGTCAGTAAAAGAATGCCCATCATAATAATGCCATCCTAATGTTTAGACAGTCCCCTCAAATACTGTATTCTATAAAATCAGATTCATGGTTAACTTTTTTTTTCTGACAGGGACACTTTCACTGCTGGTTATGCCTATGAAAATGAAAATCAGAAGGCAGCATCAACATGTCTATTTTTATATTAAGGCCATAATGTTATGAGATATAAGAGGATTGCAACTAAAGTGAAACAAGAGATTAAATTTAGAGTCACAAAAAGAGAATAAAAGTTTTTTAAAAGTTAAAATTTCTTTTTAAATACATCTTGTCTTTTTAAGTACATTTGGTTACTGTGACTCCTTTTGGTAAAATATCATTTTCTTTTATTTGATTGGTAATAAAATTGCCTTATACTTATTCCAAATACACTTTATTGTTTACAGATATCAACACTGTTCACTTAGCATGCTGTATTAGGAAGATTGCTGTCAAACTGAGTTAAATAGCTTGGGGTTTGAATCTTTGCTCCTATAAGTTAAGTAAACATGGGCGATGAATACCAGCTCTTGATGTGTAGTGTCTATACTGTAAAATGGGCGTAATAGAGATAATTTCCCCACAGATTAAACATAGTATATGCAAAATGCTAGTAAACAATCAGGTATGTTAGTAATAGTAAATATATACATGGCAGCTGATGCTATTGTTATTTCTATTATAATCATTATCATCATATATCCATTACCTGAATAAAATGTAGGCTTTATCATAATTTCATGGGAAAGGGGATTAAGAGTTGCTTAATACAACTAAAACCAATAAGGTAGTTATATTTAAGCAACTTCATGAGCTATATCAATTTGAAAAGTTAAGTTAATGAGCTTATGATTAAAAGACTAGATTGTTATCAAAGAAAACACAATTTAAAGTGATGGAAATATATTAAAAACGTAAGTTCTTTAATGTTTAAGAGTTTTAAAAATATTTTTCTTTTGTGATTCATGAACTCCTCCTTCTTTTTACAATTTATTGAAATGTCCCATCAGGATCTAATGTTTGTAATAGATTCAGAGAAGGTAATTTCATCAGGGGGGAGATGATCTTGGTTGGCGTATTGAATATATGGTCATGGCTAACCTTTTTGGAAATGAAAAAATCACTGGTAATTCCCCATGTCTATAGAGAATAATATGTACCCAAAAGATTTGAACCTATGATAAGAAGTGAGAAAAAAAAAGCTACAGATTCTCCAAAATGTTTCAAATTTGTGTGTGTGTGTGCACGTGTGTGTGCGTGCGTGCACATTCACTCGTATATCCCTACCCATCATTTGCTGTTTCAGTGAATGTAACATATACTATTACTTACTCAACTTCCCATGATTTCTGTACAGTGCAAGTTTGGAGCTAGTCAGTTTTGTGGGGCATGGCGTATTTGAGAAATATTTTTGGTACTGAAACATTTTAGTAACTCATCTTCTTTCTGTACATAGCTTTTAAGGGCCAAGTTTTTAAGGATTTTATAGGAGGCACTTGAATTTCTACCTTCAGAACTAAATGCTGTTTTAAAAACACTTTGCATAGTCTGAGGGGCTGGTGTGGTGGCACAGTGGTTAAGTTCACGTGCTCTGCTTTGGCGGTCCAGAGTTCACAGGTTCAGATCCTGGGCACAGACCTACACACCGCTCATCAAGCCATGCTGAGGCGGCATCTCACATACAAAATAGAGACAGATTGGCACAGATGTTAGCTCAGGGCTAATCTTCCTCACAACCCCCCCCCCAAAAAAAAGAAAAGAAATACTTTGCATAGTCTGAGTTAGGAACATCATGAAGTGAAATCCAATTAAACTCTCCTAATCGAATAAATGAATTCATTGATGCTTTGCTGGAATAGAACTCAGTTCTATATCACAGTGCCAAAGTGAGATTTCTATGGAAAAACATGACTCACTCAAAACTGTTTTAAAATTTTCACCTTTTAAATTTGCAAAGCTAACGTGCTCAAGGTATAGCCGATATAGATTGCACAGTCCCAAATGAGTGACCATCCTTAATAGAACATGAGTGTATCTGAGTGAGGTCTGTTGAGGTATATTTTCCCACCAAATCTGGTTGACTTTAACCAATAATTTTTCAAATATTTTCTTGCCCCATTCTCTCTCTTCGTTTTTCTTCTAGAAATCCAATTACAAGTATGTTAAATTGCTTGTACTGGGGTTTCTTTCTCCATCTTTTTTCTCTCTATTTTTCAGATTGGATCATTTTCATTGACCTGCCTTCAAGCTAACTGACCTTTCTTCCATTTTTAATCTGCTAAGCTCATCCAGCAAAGTCTTTATATCAGATAGTGTATTTTTCAATTCCAGAGTTTCCATTTGATTCTCTTTTATTATTTTCATTTCTCTGTTGACATTCCCTGTTTATGACTCTAACTTACTTTAAATCCTTGAACATGTTTTTAATAGCTGCTTTAAGTATTTATGTGTCATTTTCAACATTTGGGTCATCCCAAGATCAGATTCTATTTCTATATTTGGTTTGTTTGTGTGTGTCACTATGGGTCATATTGTTCTGAGTTGTGCATATGTAATAATTTTGTATCGTATGCTGGACATTGTGAATGAAATGTTGTATGGATTACGTCATTCCTTTAGAAGGTATTGGGTTTTGTTCTGGTGGGCTTCAAAATTAATTGTAGATCTTTTGGGTCCTGTCCTCAGTTTCATTCTTTATTAGAGGAGATCTATTTAGTCTTAGTCCTAACATGTTTTTGCTCTTAGATCTAGCATGTTCCCCTTATCTTAGGGAGTGGTACATATTCATAATGCACAGGCTTGCTGGACCTCCAATGTTTCTCAGTACGGTATGACTTCCAATATCACAAGTCTGCTCTCAACTCTGCAGCAGCAGATCTTTCCATCACTGAGCCTCACCCGCGTTTGTCAGCCCAGCCCTCAGCTGAGTCACCCAGTGAATGCCACACAGACTTCTGGGGCTCTCCCTTTCTCAGCTCCCCTGTCTCAGATTCCCTATTCTGCACATTCCATTTCAGTAGCTTAGAATAGCTTCTACTTCATCACCTCACCAAGCCACTGTACCACCTGGGTTCACTCCCCAACTTCACAGCCAGAAAAATATGCAGAATAACAGGAGGATTATGGAGTTCATCTCATTTATTTCTTTTCTCCTGAAGAACATAGTGATGTACTGTCTGTTGTTTAATAACAACAGATAATTGCCTCATATAATTTGTTGTTTTATAGTTGTTCCAAGTAAGAAGGCTAGCCTACTACCATTTAATATGCTATGGATTGAAGTGTAAGTCATATTTAATTTTCATAATGTTCAAATATATTCTGGACCAACAATTCACAGGTGTAGTACAGAGGGAAAAGGTTGGATGGGGTGTAAATGTAGATTACAAAAGTCATGTATAACTTTGAGGAACTAAATGATAGAAGAGAAAACACTCTGGTTTTGATGAGAAAGAGATGCTATCATGCAAATTTTAATATTCAAATCTCTACAAGAAAGGAGGAACCTGAGGAAATTGTATCTGTGTAAGGAAAAGTCTCCTAAGTTATAGTCACATACTTCAGTCAATAAAAAAAGTATAATCCTGCAATTCACAGCCACAGGTGACATTTTCCCACTACTCTTCAGAAATATTTGATTTACATCAACTTCTTTAGGGCCTAATCTTAAGATTTACACTAATTTGATTCTCAAGAGGCAATATGGAGTCAAAAATTATCTTTGATTATCATATATATATATAGATAGATATCTCTATCTATCTATAGATAGATATCTACCTATCTACATCTATAGATATCTATCTATAGATATATAGATATCTGTATATATGACAATATATAGATATCTCCAAGATAATCTTTGACTCTGAATTAGAACATATATAAACACATATAAATGCATGTATATATATATATGATATATGATGCACACACACACATATAGGATTGTCTTATTTATATAGAAATAAAATTTATATCATGTAGATTACATACAATATAGTTAAGTTATATACAGTATAGTTAGATTTATACATATCTATTATTTTGTACTTATCTATATAACATAAAATGAGAGACAGAGATAAGTAGAGATGGCATAGTAGAGTAGAGAAAATGAAGATTAAGAAACTTGATTTATATTTCTGGTATTGATATTGTGTGAGTTTTTTCAAGTTGATCAAATTATATAGAAAGTGTTTCATACATATAAAAATAAGTATTTAATTAATTTGTGTAACCATTTTAGACTCAAAAATTAAGTAACTGAGAAGTTTGTATGCAAAAAAATTTCTAATATGTAAAGTTTTATCTGTCTGAATTCTAAGTCAGTTATCTTCTGGACCCTAAACAAATCCACGATAGCTCACCTTTGCTCAAGGCTGGCATTACCAATACATGACACAGTGTGTATAAAGTATCTGTGACGTTTTTACTGTTGCTACTGGGGTATCCCACCATTGCTTACGATGCCTCTCAAATATTATAATAAAATATATTCACTCCAAAACATTATATAGAAAATAACCCTAGATTCTTCTGTAATCCAGTGCTCTGAGTGAGGGCCACCAGTAGATTAGAAAGAACGTGAATTAAGACCTATTCCAGCCTACGGACATTTCCATCAGTGGTTTATGCTGCTCCTCATCATTGCTCCTTCACCTCAGTTATTCCCCCACAGGAACCACAAAATGCTGCAGATCACATGGAGATTATCACCAGAAGATGAGAAACCTCCTTCAGGCTGTAAACTTTCAAATGGTAGTAACCAGTGTCCTATGAGCCTTTGAAGTCAGGCTATCTCCATATAAGCAGTCACGACTTATGATGATTCTCTTATACATTCTGGGGGAAAATAGTTTATTGTACCAATAGTGGAAATCTATAGGATTTCTGTGACATATTACTGGTCATTGTAGAATGAATTACACAGTTTCCACTTTAAAGGTCACCTTTCGGGCTTGAATTGACTCACCTTCACACACGGGCTGCAGCCCAGACCACGACCCATTGAGCAAACACGTTCGCTCGGGAGAGCCTCTCAGCTGGTAGCCCATCTCACAGGAGAAGCGCAGAAGGCTCTTGGCCTTAAACTCATCCCCAAGCCGAGACCCATGTGCTGGGGTCCCCGGATCACCACAAAATCCAGGATTACTCCCTGTTGGACATAAACACATATGGCAATATACAATGTGGTTAGACTTGTTTAAAACAGAGCTGTTTTGGTTAAACAGAAGGAAAAGTTATTTAAATGTGTATTGAATGTGGGGTACAGTTATACAGCATTCTGGAAATCTTGTGAGAAAGATTTTCTTTATTATAGCACAAAAATGGAAAGCTTTAAGAAATTGTTCCTGTGTAACTAAAATCAAAATAGCTTATTAAAATATGGTTATGGCAATAATTGATATTCTTTAGAAGAAATAAAACACTGGGAATGGCCACTGCAAGATTAGTTCACTGGAAGGCTCAGTATGAATAGTGAAAGGGAGATGGGGGTGAAGGTGTATTGCGAATGTAAAAAATAAACGAGTGAGAGGTTTGATTTTTCTCCATTATTTCCAGAGTTGCTGATTCACTGAGTTTTATTTATTTAAGAAACATTCATTGGGCCAGCTCCAGTAGCCTACTGTTAAGTTCCATGTGCTCTGCTTTGGCAGCCTGGGTTTGGTTCCCAGGCACAGACCTACACCCTGCGTCTGTCAGTGTCCACGCTGTAGTGGCAGCTCACATACAAAAAGAGGAAGATTGGCAAAGTATGTTAGCTCAGGGTGAATCTTCCTCAGTGGAAAAAAAAAAAAAAAGAAGAAGAAGAAAGAAACATTCACGGAAGAATCATAATGACTTTTTTTTTCAAAGAGGATCAATGTAATTATTGATTACAGAGACAGAAAAGATGTGGAAGAATTGAAAGGAAGCACAGAAATGGAATAAAGTACAAACTGGGACAGACTGAGTCAAAGTAAGCAAGCTTCACAGCCAAAGTGATAAAGAAACTCCTGGACTCCTAGAGGAGAAAATGTGATGTGATAGGACTTTAATGGTGATGATGATCAAGATGATGACGAGGATGATGATGAAGATGAGGATGATAAAGATAAGGATGATGAAGAGGAGGATGATGGTGATCTATAATAATGGCATATTTGGCTGGAAATCGAATAACTTCAACTAATTGAGGCATTATGCAACGTTTCAGGTAATTGTCTGATTGTGTGAGTCCTCACCTGTACAATGGGGCAGTGCTCCACTCCAGTGACTATCCTCTTGGCAAACTCTAGTGCTGTTGCCTACAAGACTCCGGCTTCCTTTGCATGAGTAGTGAACTGTGGCCCCATATGTAAACAGTTCTCCAGTTAAGATAGCATTGGCAGGAACCCCTGGGTGTCCACATGATATAGCTTCAGAAAAAAAAAATTAAAATAGATGAGTCCATCATTCCTGTTAAACTGCTTTGCATTGGGAAGTCTCCCACATAGACACCCATAAAAACATCACCTATTACTGAAAAACACCTAAATGTGCTGGCATATCCTTGCAGATCCCTATAGATAAGAAATACCAATTTCCAGATGATGCTCCCCCCACCTTGAATATTTATATATAACTGAAGACAAGAAAATGGTCTATCAATGATTTTTTTTTTTTTTAATCTTAAGTTAAGGTAGCTTTGCTTAAGGTAGAAATTTACATTTAGGCTTTCAAAGAGAAAGTCATTCTGCCTAAATTTTTTCCATCTGCTTTTAACTGTATCTCAAATAAGCAGTATTATATGAAATGTTAGAAATTAACATAGATCCATCAAAACTATTTCTATTATTTCTTCAGTTAATATTAGAACCATATACTTTGCTTGGGGACAAAACTCTGTCAAATCTGATTACTATTCTAGTTCACATGTCTAGGAAGACCATTCTAACAATTTTTTTGGAATAGGCGGCAATCTAAAATGTTTAAGTAAAAAAATAATAATAAATTACTGATTAATTTTTCCTTGTTATTCTATAAAATAATCTAAGTATTTCCATTCATTTCTTTAAAATTATGCCAAATCAAGCACATAATCTATTTATAAATTATCCCTCAAAAAGACATATTGTGGAATCCAGATTAATATAAGATAGTGAAGATCTATCTCTCCCTTTCTATAAAGTGCCAAATCAGGGTTAACAACGGACAGATTTTATGCTGCATGCAAACAGCTAACTGGACTCAGGCTACCAACAAATTATTCGAAGGTAACTGATTTAACTTCCTAGAGGAGTTGCATTTGGTCATTGGTAGCCCAAGAGTTTTATCAACCAGAGAGGCCGAAAGGCTGAAAGGCATCACCCATCCCCCGAGTCACATTAGCCCTCATACTGATACAGTCTGCATTCACTGGAGAACAAGACACCTACTCATTAGAGAACAAGAGTTTATCTAGATCGAGTCCTGAATCAGTGAAATGGTTGGTAAACGACCAGTTCCAGGTGAAATAAAAGAGAAAAAAAAAATCAGTGAAACAATGTAACAGCAAAAATAGAGACACAGCTTAGCTGCTATAGGTCATGTAAAAGCAAACTGCTCCTATTCATGGTAATTGCACTTGTTAATGACAACAAGTGGTGGGAACTGGCCACCTAGGAAAACGAGATCAGTTAAAATCTAGTTCCTGGAGATTTGGAGCACACTGGCATCGTTACAAAAACTAACGAAAGTCTCGTGTAAGCCAGAAAAGACATAAGAGAAATGTCTGGGGAGAAAAAGAAAAAAAAATAATTTCTCTGAAAAATTCCCATGTGTGAAGGTGTAGAAAACCAGAAGGCAGGTAAAATTTGATAAAGATTGAAATACATTTATAGATGCATTTTCTGTCATATGAGGCTGTGCATTTGTTTTTGACAGTCATCACTCTGTTTCTCCATGGAAATTGATTGTATTGTTATAGTTAAAATTTGAGACAAGTTTCCACGTAGATTGGAAGGAGTTGGGAGGGACACTGACTTGCAGGAAAAAAATCTCCAGTCCCAACCCATTCTGAGAATGTACTGAAAATGCTGTGATTGCAAGAGGTAAAATGGATTATCACACTTTCTTCAGTAAATTCAATTCCTAATGTAATTGTCGTTTCCCACTTAATTTATGCACACAAAGTGCGTACTAGGAAGATAAGATTTTGATTATAAGGATCTTTTGCTTCTGCTTGATTTTAAAATCATCAAAGAGAGTAACCCCTTTTCCTAAATTTTCAGACTATGGTTTAACAAGATGATTCTCTTTGCGCTAAGGGACAATATGCTTTTTCAAGTGAAAGAAAGTAAGACTACAGCTATTTGGGTTAAAAAAATGTGTTCTTGTTAATCTATATGGTCTAAAATATACTGATAATGATGTTTTGAGGGGAGCCATAATGGTGATCTATAATTTTGTCTGTCTCGAAGAGCCCCTCCATTCTTCAGGGCAATATGCCTTCTCCTTATTTAAATGTATGGGTCAGCAGGAAGCTACTATCAAGATATTATCTTTTTTATTGTATTTCATTGCATTTTTATTATCTATTTTATTGCAACTATTGACTGTACCAGAACTGCTCATGAGACCAAATTAGTATCCATAGATACTAGGTCAACAGATGGATACTCCATATCAGAGCCCTTTGCCAACGTTTCTGAATCTGGGTCCCGACAGAGTGAAGCTGAGAGGCACGTGGTGTTGAGGCTGCTGGCCGCCATGTTTGAACTGTGTAGAACTAGCCTACCCACTGGGTTGGAGCAGAAGACAAGCAGTCATAGTAGAGGCAATGACAGAATAGGTCCAAGTGGTGCCCAATAGGCTGGGTCCCTTTCTCTCTAGGGCCGGGTATGTGAGCATGCCAGTGTGTCCCCCTTTTTTTTCCTTTCAGACTAGTTTGAGGTGTATTTTGTGATTTCTGGCCAATCTATAAAGATATCATAATAACTTTTACAATTTGTGACGGGGGATAGAAAGAATTAAAATCTAATACTTTTTGAATACTTAAAAAAAACATTTGTTCTGTTGGTGGTGTTCTTATAGGGCTCTGTGACACAAGAATCCAAAACAACCCTCACTTACTCAAACACTTGGGTAGAGAGCGATCCCATAAGCCGTTAGCCGTACAGGTTAAGGCAGAAGATCCCAACAAGTAAAATCCCTTCTTGCAATGATACATGACACTCATTCCATACTCAAAACTCTCAGGGAAATTTTGCTGCCCGTGACGAATGGCATTCTCCACAAAGCCTGGATCGGAACAGTTCACCACTGGAAAAGAAAACATATTACACATCACTTAACACAGCTATACATTTATAAACAAAATAGATTGGAAAAGAAGGCAAACTCCTCATCATTTTAGAAAGTTCCTAAGACGACAATATCACAGCCAAGGCTAATCATGAAATTACACTCCCTTGATGAATGCTACATATTGCTTTGGGCCATTTTGCTGCAAAAAATGTCAAACAATGTATCAGCTACTACAGCAATTTTAAGGAGTGGAGGCTAATTTCTTTTAACTGTTTCCTAATAGTCTTCTTCAATGTAAAATCTAAAATCAGTTTGCTTGGTTAAGTTTTTATGTTATGAAAATGTTAAAATAGAACAGTTGAAGTTAGTTTAAATATTTTTATTCAAGTGTGATATATTAGGACAGCCTGTGACACAGTAATTAATGGTTCCTCCCCACCCACATGCATTAATGCTTCAATATGCACGCCTAAAGTTAATTTCTGTTATATGTCTAATGCAGATAAAAATGAAAATGCTTCCAACAACACTCAGAAATGTAAATCAAGCCAGCTCTGATGGAAGCCTCTTCCCCCTTTAGAAAGAGCCACGCAGCGAGATGGTCTGCCGTGGCATGCAGGACATGCTCTGGTTAATCTGAATGGCATTCTATTAGCCTGAATGCATCCTGGCATCTGTGAGGGAATTAGTAATGTGCTTTTGCAGGTGCAGAGGAAAAGAAAGAGCCCCTGATTATCTCATGCTTTGACCCACCACACCAGTGAATGAGACAGCTGCTGTGGAGGCTGTGCTCTCTCCAGATATTTCTGGCTCGGAAAGCGGTTGTGCAATGAATTCTCAGAGACTCATTGCACGTCACGGGGCTCAGCGGCTAAAGGCAAGCCCTTACCCTATCTGTGCATTGATTTTCCCTTGGTACGAAGGAGGAAGGTGTGGGGCAGGATAGAGGATTACAAAGATTCCTTTTAGTGCTGTAGAATAACATTCTCTGCTTTTTAAAACAACCCTGAGTTTATAGAAGAAAGAATCTAGTTCTTTTGGGTCAAAGGAAAACCACAAACATGTTTATGGAGCATAGGCAGATATTTTTCAGGCTCCAGAGAGCATTGCATCCACAATAAAATTGTTACCAAACCCACTGAAATAGCAGGAATTACCTACTGGGAGGAAGTCTAATAAACTTGAAAGATCAATTATTTTTATAACCTGGAAAACAGCTGCATAGGCCCCTCTGGCACTTGGAGTTACATGTCAAGCCCAGGAGACAGAAGCAGTTCCCTTGTATCGCACCTTCATAAGCAGCAAGGTGCATCCTTGGCCCAAATGCTAGAGACACCATTGTGTTCGTGTCTGTGTTGATGTTCCTCTTGGGAGATAGTCCAGAAAACAACATCAGGCTCTTTTGTAGAGAGAGTAGAGAAAACCACTTAGGCAAGATGCATGGAAGGCACTGAGCCATTTACGGAACACCTCTACTAGGACGCCTAGTAGATCCCAGACGCTCCACAGGACTCTGCATGCCCCAGTTGAGCTTTTCCTCTTTTCATCTGTGTTTTTATGTTTTGGCCCAGCTTTCCTTAATATAGCCTAATTGTGTGCTGGCTAAGAAAGAGGAAATGTACAAAGCAATTGCCATGATGGGTTTGGAGCTCAAGAGAAGGGTCTGGCTGGAGATAAGAAGAAAAAGAAAAGGGAGTCATCGGCAGAGAAGCAGTTGTTGTCACAGTAACAATGAGACCCAACTGCATCCTTCTCTTGCAGGCTGAGAAATGGACAGTTCTCTGAGTTTACCATGGCCGGAGGAGGGGGATCTAGAATCCCGAGTTTCATACCAATTGCCCTAAAACTCTGGACTAGAATTCTCCTTGGTAGCTCCTCTTGCCCATGGTGAGAGGAGAGGTGTAGAAGACTCGAATGTCCTCATTACCGCCACGCATTCTGGGACTTCAGATTGCACGAGCATTACCTGGAAGGAGTGTGGAATGCTAAGTCCCCGTTCTTTCACCTCACTCAGTGCCCTTAAAATACTAGGCAATAAAAATGCCTGACAACGATAAAGATTCCATGAGCTCCAACTGGGAAAACTGAATTGTTTCTTACGTTGGAAGAGGTATGTCTACAAATACTCTAAATCTGCTCCTGCACTTTTTTTAGTCCTGTCCCATAAAATTAGTCCTATAGAATTTAGTCCTACACAGTTGCAGTCAGAAACATCTATTTATATGCCTTCCTATTTATTTTGGAATCTCTACTAGGAGATTCAGCTGAATCTATCAGCTGGGGGGAAATATTAGGGCAGGAATAATTTGATTTATTTGTCCATGACAGAGAGAACTTTGAAATATTCTATATCATCATTGCAACTGGGTGTGTTTTACCATATAGAGAGTTGGCTAGCTGCCAGAATAGTTCATGAGTGCCCAGTGGATCCACATAAATAACTCTCCCATCCTTATTCTTTCTCTTATTTTGTGCACAATTCCTATTTCGGGATCTGGTGGCCTGAAGCTTGCTTAACTGACAGATGTGAGCTGTCAGCAAAGTGTAAGGAGGAGTCAAATTACTTAAACCATCTTGTAGCATATGAAATGGCAAATGAAGTTAATGGTGCGGATATATATCAGACCTGCTGAACTACTTTACACTTTGAGTTTGTGACACGATGTTTAGCAGATGGTAATGCAACAGAAGAAATTGTTAAGAGACTCATTGTGGAGGTCTACTGCCTCTCTTGACATCTCACCCTCAATAAGCTAAGAGCTAAGACTTGGACTTGATGTGCAGATGTTAAAACCTGACATAGAACTGAATTCTAGCAGCTGGAAAGAATGAGAAGTATTGATATCATGTATACTTGGCCCAGTGTGGAGAAGTTCAGGAGGGCACAAAAAACGTGTTTCCTGGGGACATTTGTGTATGGCAGAGGGTAAAGGAAGAAATTAATATAATGATCAGTAACATACTCAAGGTCGCAAAGATACTTACTCTAGACCTAGGTAAGGATTAGGGCTCTTGATTACCTACGTAGTATAGCATATTTGTAAAAACACATCAGTATTTCTTGGTGACGTGATTTCCAAAGGGATCCCCTTCTTCTCTTTTTTTTTTTCTTTGGAGAGTACCTGCTCTAAGTCGTAGCTCCAATGATATTTTATAGGCTATGTATTAAGCCTTTCTACTCTACGTGCACTCCTCACTCTCGGAGAAGTCATCTCTAAAAATAGTCAAGTTAATATGTGAATAGAGACAAAAACATCCTACTCCCTATGATTTATGATTTTAAAAGGTATATTCTCTTTCAGAATTTTTGATGACTAACAAAGCCCTGTTTATCCAATTATTGCCCTATTTTCTTTAAGTGAGTGTGTAGATAACCTGACTAAAGAAACATTAAAATGCCATTTTTTGAAACCTGGTTGTTAATTGTTGCAACTGTTTTACTTTATTTTCAGTAGCTGCGAGTGATTCACTTTCCCTTGGTAAACTTCAAACCACAGGACTCAGCAAAGCACCCACACCCTGAGTCCCGCCCCGCTGAGACCAGCTTTGCTGTCCTGCGGTGCACAGCGTCGCATTACACACCATCTGAGACACGCCATCTCGTTAACCTGCCCTGGTTTTCCCTGCTTGTGCACTGAAAGCAATGTCTGCTCCACATCCGTGATTCTGCGTAAAACTCAAAACTGCCCATGTTTTCATGAAAATCTCTCTGATGACAGGGGAATATGGCAAATTTCAGTCCCAGGCTCCTTCTCCAGCTGATCAAAAATAGAAATTAAACTACCTCTCTGCACACTTGTTTCTTCTAGGCTGTTAGACGATAAAGTAAAAGGCAGTAACAGTATATGCCATGAGAATTTACCATAGTCCCTAATAGCATGGACTCTGGGCTGTTTAGACAGTGAAACTCCTAAAATAACTTTGTAGGTTTCTTATTTATTGGATTCCATCCTATTATCTAACTGTGACAACCTGTGAAGACTTCAATGGATTTTTCATTGAATACTGTCATTCTGAGTTCTATCTCTAGTTCTCAGAAACATTTTTCGTAATAAATTCTTCCATTAAACACAATACATTTTCCTTGTATACTTTTTATGTTATTTATCCATTCATTAACATTTATTGATTAATGATACATAAAAAGTTAATAAGGTTTTAAGGGCCTCTGAGATGATAATAGCAGAACCATGGAACTTAACTTGTTTGTCCAAAATCTGGCTAGAAATTGAAAATCCAAAACAGAATCCAAAGTGCCTCCTAATCTTCGGTGTCAGTACCATGTCCTACAAGCATGTTTTTTTAAACCACTTTTTGAGGTATGATTGACATGTAAAAAGCTGTACTTATTTATTGTCCACAACTTGAAGAGTTTGGGGATAAATATGCACCTGTGAAACTATCACCACCATCAAGGCCATAAACATATCCATCTCCTCCCAAAGTTTGGTAAAAAAGCATAAACGATTAATCCCAACCTCTTAGCTGACAGCTTCCTCTCATGGGAGATGTTCCTTGGGTCAAATTTGTTGCTATTTGTTTTTGTTTTGAAAGGTAAACCATAGAGATGAAGTTTATTATTTTTTAAAATTTCAATATAATTCTTACACTAAAAGGAAAAGTAAAAAGAAACTGTCAAATTAAATGTTAAAAACTGAATGCTATGGGCTAAGCTTTTAAATCAAATTTGAAAAACTGGACTCTAGTAAAATTAGTAGAAATACACTGAGTTACTATGAATAGGTAGTTTCTGTTTTCTGAGCAAACAGAATACTAGCAATTACAAAGGAAAAACAATACTGAATATAATACAGATCTATTTTCAAATGGCTATGAGTGACATTCTAAGAATAAAAGGTAACTAGTTTTCCATACAGTTGGCAGTACACTGAGAGATCGTCTTTTTCAGTTTCTGAGCAGGTCGCAAATCAAACACATCTGAAAGGTCTGACACATGTCAAATACATCTGAAAGGTCTGATACATGTCCATCAATGTCCTTTTCTCACTGAGACA